GTGAGATGCTCAAAACTCTGCCACAAGATCATCCCACTAGCAGTTGAAAGCAAAACAAGGTTTCTGGTATCTAGAAGCTGAGCAACTGAAGAACTGTTTGCCGGTTGAGATACATTTGACGACCAAAAGATCGTGTTTTGTCCATCTAAGAGTTGAAGATTTCCATCTTCAGATATTTTCAGCACCCCAGAAGTGTTATTTATAGGGTTGTTCCTATTGGCCACCCATACAACTACTGTCTCATTCACGATATTATACCAAATTCCAACATAGCGATTTGTTGAGTCATCGGTGCTGAAAAATCCAATCTTGAAAGTGGCATTACTAGACAATAAGGTTTCTGAGTCTCTAAGAAATTCAGTGGTGGTAATATTGGCAGATGTTGAAACAAATTTCAAACAAAAACAACAAATGAATAGCAGAGTAAACTTTGAAACATTTGCCATTACAGTTTTTTTTTCCCCCTGGTTATGGCCAGCTTGACAACTGCACAATTACTTAAGTACTCACATATGTCAATGATATTCAATATGCATAAATTTTAAACACTAGAAAACACAACTATATGCATAAAATTCCCTTTGTCAACCATATGACAGTTATACATATATGCTATACTTAATCTGAAGCATGTTACAACTTGGACAAATAAACAATGGTATAACTGTATAAGTACGGAATTTTGAACATTCCTCATCATTACATTCGATCTCCTTGTCATCCTAAACGAATTGTATAGTATACTATATTGGGAATGTCTACCATGTCTATTTCTGTTGAACAAGTAAACAAAATTAGAAAATAGTAGCATGACTGTCAGCTATGTCAGGATATTAAATTTGCAGATTTGCAATTTTCTAATGTAGTGTTCCCCTAGATTTATAGCACTATTAAAGTGACAAATGTAGCCATGTAACTTTAATGTGATTTAGGGCGAAAAACAGAGCAATTTACAGTACAGCCAATCTATACAAGACCTACTGTTTTCTTAAAGTCATCATTAGAATTCACCACATGGCAGATGCCATCCTGCCATGTCATGTAATCAACAATCCTTGAACCCAATATTTTTTCTAACTTAAGAAAATATGTTATAAATACCTCGAAGTATAGTACCTATGCTCACACTTCCCCTTAGTCAAAGGAAATCTCAAAAACACCCAAAAATGCTATGTAAATGCTCATATTAGTGAAACTATCCCTTTACGGTTCTATTAACTAAACTCCATAAAGCCGATTAACTCATAAGAGATTCATATATCAATGGGTATTTTGGGGTAATTAGAGATGAAAAAACCCTTAACCCAATGTGTTAGAGTGTTTATAGGCAAGTTAGGTAGGAGTTGGAATTTGTCAATTAGGAAAATTTTGGAAAGTTAAGTAACATATCAAGATGTTTTTTAGGACGTAAACAAAGTAAATTTGAATATAAGATGTAAAACACAACTAGACACGATACCTCCCCATTCAACCCATGACATCATATCATATTGAACAAAACTAATTCTCAAATAAGATATACACATTAGTGCATTACCATATCATCACTTCCTCATTTTTTTCATACCCTCCCTTTCAAAAGAGTAAGACAGTAAATTTGGCCCTTTTCACAAATTGTGACATAAATTTTATTTCTTATGCCTAAACTACTCCCACTAGATTTTGCACAGCACTTTTTATCTATTCTATTCATCTCCAAGTTCCTTTTATTGATCACATCTAAGATCTTAGATCTAGTTCTTCATCATACTAAATGATTTTTAAAATGAGCATCCAACTCGGTCAAAGTATGAATTCTCTCAGCGGCTTCTTAATTTGGAGTCATACCCAAAGAGAAAGCAACTTGTGTTTAAATAACTTTTACCACTCCTTTTATTAGCAACTAGCAACTAAAAGTAGAATAACACAGACTCTCATGACAGAAAATAACTAAATAAATTGAAAATTTGTCTTCTTGAGGAATAGATAAGTTTAAAAGAATGGCGCAATCAAATATGTATGAAATCATATTGATCGCTTAAAATTGTGACTATAATTATTTGATACGTATAAAATTAATCTTCATCTTCCCAAGGGAAAACTCGATATAAATCATAGCTGTACATCAGCTTTGAGTATTTTTCACGATTCAAATGAGTAGAGGGAGTAATAAATTTCTATATCAAATTATGATGATCAATTCCTCTTCAAGTAATAAGATGTTAATGTCTATCAGTTTAGACAAAGAGACAACTCCATTAGGTGAATTAAGGTGCCCTCTGCATGCTTCTAAAAAATAAGACTATTTCATGGACATGGAAGCTAATATATAAACCCTCAATTCATCAAAGCACAGTTAACCGAAATAAAATCATCTCATGCAGAATCACACATAATCGGCTCCTTACAATAGTCAAACAAAGATCATTCACATGTAATTATGTCCCATAAGTGCCAGATTTTCCCGATTTGGTACTACTTGCAGTCGATCAAGATGACTGTTATGCTGGAATCTGGTATAATATTGATGAATTTGATTCGACGAAAGTTGTGTGGGTAGCCAACAGGAATAACCCAATTAATGACTCTTCTGGTGTACTGAAGATATCTGAGGATGGCAATCTTCAACTGTCAAACAGACAAAACAAGATATTTTGGTCAACCAATGTATCTAAGCAGGCTAACAGTACGTTAGTTGCTCAGCTTCTAGACACCGGGAACCTTGTTTTGTTCTCGAGTGCTACTGGGATGATCATTTGGCAGAGTTTCGCGCATCTCACAGATTCACTCTTGCCCCAGACAACGATCTCTATAGAAAAGGATGATGTGAATGAGAAGTCATCAATGGATATTTGGGAGCCAGCAAGATCAAGCCAACACCTTAAGGGTAGTCGTCACCTAGTAAGCTACTTAGCCTCATTCTCGCTAAATTCAGGCCAATATTTATCTTAAATTGACCACATCAACGGTTTTTTTCACTTGTTTGTAGTGGCTACATGTCTCCAGAGAATGCTATGGAAGGCCGCTTTTCTGAAAAGTCGGATATATATAGTCTTGGAGTGATAACTTTTAGAGATTGTCAGTGGTAGAAAAAACAAATTTCTGGAATTCGAGTGTTTAAGCCTTTTAATATATGTATGTCATACAAAGATTTTATAATTTCTGTTCAAAGTAGTCTAAACCCTTGCTATTATTTCAATCAAGGCAGCTAATAATTCACTTTATTGCTTGGGCATGGAAGATGTGGAATGGGAACGATATGCTTTCGTTGATTGATCCAACTGTTTTTGATCCGTGCTATCAATGTGAGATGGTGAAATGCATACAATTGGGGTTAATATGTGTGCAAGAATTTCCAGAAGATAGGCCAACAATTTCGACATTGGTCTCCATGCTCGATGCTAACGATGTCATGGAACTTCCACAGCCAAAGCAACCCGGCTTTACACATTGGAGGGATTCTTCTAATGATTAGGCCAACCAAATTGGCCAACAATATGGCTCTATAAACCACGTCTCTGCGACTGTATTAACTGGTCGATAGTGTGTGAACTTTTCTTCAAGAAAATTATAGAAAGTATTTAGGAAAATTTGCATATTTTGTATGAAAATTGTTTATATTAACATACTACATATACAGTACTAAGAATTTGTTATAACATTTTGGCCTACTACTACTAATAATAATAATAAAGGTTACTACTTCTGCAGAATCCACCTTCTCTTTATCTCCTCGACAGTCAGCATTGTGGAAATTGTAGCAAGGAGATCACACCTCTACTTGGCTTCGGGCGGTTCCTATTTTGGGGTTAGGTCAGACGATGAATGCAAAGACTTACCGATGTGTGTTGTACTACTGCTTGGGTGTTCCATTGTTCTCTGTCTCGACGCCGTGCTCAGCTTGTTCAAAAGGTTTTACTGAGGATATTTTCGGTGATCACGCGGTGTAGTGTGCTGGTATGGTGGGTATTAAATACAACATAATGTTGTTCGGGATACCCTTGTTGATGTTTGTTATCGATCTAGGAAGGAAGTTGACATTGGGTTGTCTGGAGGGAACGACGGGGCCCTCAGACCTGTAGATGTGTTACTTTATTCCTGGGATCGTGGTAGCGATGTCTGTGTTGACTTGAAAGGGTCTTCTCCTTTGACACAGTCTGGGTTATCTGATTTTGTTCCTTGACGGGTTGTAGCTAATGCGGCTCAGCGGAAGCGGGTGAAATACGAATCCAGTTGTCGGACAATTGGATATAGCTTCCTTCCTTTCTCTTTCTCTTCTCTTGGGGAATTAGAGAAAAAGGTAGTTACATTGCTTAAGCGGATCCAGAGTTCTCGAAAACTCAAGACATTATTGGAGCGCGTGCTACTGCTCATATCTTTACTAGAATAGGATTTGCTATAGTTAAAGGAGTGGGGGCCCAGATTGTATCTCGGTTTCTAACTAATTTTTTATAGGTTGTATGACTTTGTCTGTTTTTGAGATATAATAATAATAATAATAATAATAATAATAATAATAATAATAATAATAATAATAATAAATGATTATAAACGGTAATAATGTAATCCTTGCCCAGCCCAAATATCTCTTTTGTTCATGATCTATATAGCACTTGTTACTACTATTAAGGGTGAGCACATGACTTGTATTGAAATTATGCCTAAACCCAATTAAGTACCAAACCCACCTACTCTCCTAGTAAACATTGTGCCTTCCACTTGCACCATGTTTTTAACTATCTATTGGGTCTTTTTTTATTCATTACATTACTTACCACAATTCCAGCACTTGGATATACAAATTGGCATACAATATGTATGTTTCATAATATAATATGAGCATCCAACTGTATTCATGCACTTCGTATTATGCATTATCTTTTGATCTGAAATCATACCAACAGTGAAAGTGACTCATGTTTAATTAATTATTTTCCATTAGCAAGTAGCAACTCAATTAACACATCCATTGATCCATCTCATAGTTTCACATGCAATAGCCTTACAAGTTACAAACTTATTGAATTATACAGTTGTGCAGGCAAAAACAAGTTTAAATTTTGCTGCGTAGTAATAATACCAGTACATGATCCACTACTATCATCTTCTACAATGATCTTCCTAAAATAAACCCTACTACGAATTATCCTAAAACATTTTAACCTACGGTTGTCTTCCTAAAATGAGTCTAAAGATATCAATTACTTAAAACCCATGGGTGCTAGGGCCCAGGGGAACACTAGTCCTACCCCTAAAAACCCGTGGGTGGCAGGATTCGAATCAATGATCAGTGACTATCGGATTAGTAGACTATTCATTTACTTAAATAACCAAAGTTAAATAGTGTTAGAGAATACAACCACTGTTCTGCGTTTGCATCCCATTAATCCCTGCCTAATGCAAACGGAAAAGTAAAAAGAGTATATACTTCTTCCGTTCCTAATTAGATGACACGTTTCTTTTATCACGTTTGCCAATGCACAATTTTAACCATTTATATCTCCCATTATCAACATTGTAAAATTATAAAAAGTGAATATTAATAAAATATACATTAAGACGATTCAAAAAAGATCCCACATGATTATATTTTATCGTAGTTACAAATCACAAAAGCTAGTCAAAGTGTTGTTTGTAAATAGTGCAAAAGTCAAACTGTGTCATCTAAAAGGGAACGGAGGAAGTAGCTCAGAAGAGAGTTTACTAGGTTTAACACTTGAATTTTGGTACTCTAGTGATTGAGCTAAATCTCTTGCTAAGAAAATCCAACACTCTATCGACCACTTAATACAGTCAGGGAGACGTGGTTTATAGAGCCATTCTCTTGGCCACTGTGGCTGCCCTCATCAGTAGTATAAACTCTCCTCTGAGTAAAGCTGGGTTGCTTTGGCTGCGGAAGCTCCATTATATCATTAACATCAAGCATGGAAAACAATGCCGAAATGGTAGGCCTATCTTCTGGAAATTCTTGCACGCATATTAACCCCAACTGTATGCACTTCAAAATCTCTCCTTCATAGCATGGATCATAAATACTTGGATCGATCAATGAAAACATATCATTCTCATTCCACAATTTCCAAGCCTGAAAGCATTAAAACAAAATTGTTAGCTATTCGCATATTCATTAGCATTGGCCTTTAATATGAATAAATAAGATAGGGCTAAATATAGATATATAAATCACTTAATCAATCATACATATGTTAAGAGGCTCAGAGACCCATAATCTAGAAAGATGCTGTTTTTTCTTCCACAGACAATCTCTAATAGTAGTACTCCAAGACTAAATACATCAGACTTTTCAGAAAATCGGCCTTCCATAGCATACTCTGGAGACATGTAGCCGCTGCGAGCAAGTCAAACATCCATTAAGTTCATAAACTAAAATAAATAATTTTAGCCCAAATTCAGCATCTTATGAGAGTTAATTGTTAGATGGTAAGTTGCTTACTAAGTGCCAACAACCCTCACAGTATTTCCTTGATCTTGTTTGGTCTCAAATATCCTTGCCATTCCGAAATCAGATATCTTTGGATTGAGCTCTTCATCCAGCAAAATGTTGCTTGCTTTGAGATCTCTATGAATAATCTTCAATCTAGAATCTCTATGAAGATAAAGGACACCTCGACATATCCCATTGATAATATTGAAGCGCTTCTTCCAATCTAACTGTTTATTATGACTTGGATCTAAATAAACAGTACATATGGATAAGAACATGGCACTATCTGTTCTTCGAAGTTAAATGTTACAAATCCTACTATATCCAACTTAAAGGTGCGAAAAGAAATTCAGTACATGAATTTGGGAACATACCAAAGAGAAGTGCGTCTAAACTCCTATTTGGCAAGTATTCATAAACTAATAATTTCTCGTCTCCTTCTACACAGCAACCCAACAGTCTGACAAGATTGTTGTGTTGAAGCTTCGAAATCACAAGCACTTCGTTCATAAATTCTTGCAGGCCTTGTCCAGATGCTCTTGAAAGCCTTTTCACTGCTATCTCCTGTCCGTCTTCCAGTTTTCCCTAAGAATACATTATCACATTCAGTTTTGTATCCCTTATTTTCTTTCTAAAATACCACTTTTCTCTCACTTTACTTACAAATTCTCTCTATCTATCCACGTTAAAATTCTGTATTCATATTAATCAACTTTTTGGCTAGTATTTAACTTCAGTACCTTGATCACCCTCCCCTACTCAATTTTAAAGCCTAACAGGAAGGCGAATATAAGACTGAAGAAATACTTCAGCATAAAACTATACATGCATTACCTTGTACACTGGGCCAAAACCACCTTGTCCGAGCTTGTTATCGACTGAAAAGTTACTAGTTGCCACTTCCAATTGTTTGAATTCAAACAATGATAAATCTTTGAATTCAACTTGATCCATTTCAGAACCAACAAAATGTATCTTTTTGTTCGAGGAATTCTTAGCTGTCACGGCAAGAAGTATGTGTCAAGGTTGCAAGATAAAATATGAAGCTATGGCTTGCATGAGCAATTCAAAAAGAAAATGTCACCATATCGTTGAAGCATCCACCTCCGTAGACAGTATGCAGAGACACCAAATGTGGCTGTCGCCCCAAATGCTATGACTGCAATCAGTATTTTCAAATTACTAGTTTGACCTGCAAAAACAGAAATGTTTTCATCAGCGTACACAGTCAATGAATTAACTCCCTATATATCCATTTAAAAGTCTCCCTATACAACATTTCATGATTTTTCAGTTGTTACTGTATATCCATATAACGCAAGGTAACCCACATCCCGACACTTTAGTCCAAGCAATACTCCAATGCCTAACCAATTTAGCATATTTAATGGCTTAAAATATTACTTTTTAAGTTACAATTAAAAGGGGACTCGCGAGGGGGGAGGGGGGGAGTAAATATATACTCCGTATTGGATAGAAGGAATGAATGAATGAACAAATGAAAGGAATATAAATAGCAGTTATTAGTAAAATGATCACCTAATTCTGAATCAGCCAAACGAATGAAAAGATCAGCAGCACCATCAACAGATAGTTGTTGCAAGTCTAATAGGCTTCCATCCCACACCATGCATCCAATACCCTTGGGATATGCATAAGCTAAACACGAACAATTTTTCAAGCACTTCCTCCCACAACCTTCTATATCATCTGATAATAACAAATCAGCATAATCTGGCACATTCATATTCTTTAGCTTCAAAAAACCATCTACTTTTCCTCCTATAATACTACACTGCAATGGTGTTTTTCGAACACACCCACTAGTAAAATTGTTTTTGCTCCATTCATCAATACTCTTTGGTTCAAACCCCTTTAAACAACTACAAATTGGTGAATCCTTTGGATTACAGCTTCCAAAAGGACCACACTTTCCATAAAACACACACTCAGGTCCAAAGGATTGCCACTCAATTCCCCACTTCTGGCTACCATCATCCCATTTTTTTGCGATCAAATTTCCATTGTAGTTTAACAAAAAGTATCTCAGTAATGATTCGTTCTCCACATAATATACAAAATCAACTGTTCCTTCACGGTTGTTATTTACAATACGGAATCCCATGGAAGCCCTTGAAGATAAATTAGGCAATCCAAGAAAAAGGTTACCATTCCATGGGCCAGACCGCCAATAAGGCTTATTACCATCCCATATGACAAATTCAGGAAGTGTGCGAGGTAATATTCCTACCCTAAAGCGTCCATTTGATGGATCTGATGCGTTCTTCCAAGATCGTAGCATTGAATATTCATACATAGTATCCTTTTCAATAGAGACTTTTGTTAGTGGCAACAATGAATTTGTGAGATGTTCAAAACTCTGCCAAATGATCCTCCCACTAGCACCTGAGAGCATAATAAGGTTCCCCGTGTCTTGAAGCTGAGCAACATTAGTACTATTTGCCTGATCAGACACATTAGATGACCAAAAAATCGTGTTTTGCCCATCTGAGAGTTGAAGATTCCCATCCTCAAATATTTTTAGCACCCCAGAAGAGTCTTTGATCGGGTTATTTCTGTTTGCTACCCATACAACATCAAACGCATCAGAATCCTCCATATTGTACCAGATTCCAACATAGCGATTTGTTGAGTTAGTGGGACTGAAAAAGCCAATCTTGAACATGGCATTAGTAGACACTAAAATTTCTGAATCTCTAAGAAATTCAGAGATGCTAATATTTGTGGTTGCTGTGACAAAGTTCAAACAAAAAAAACAAATGGATAGTAGTATAAAGATTGGAAAAGAAGCAACATACAATGTCATTATAGATTTTTTTTTTTTCCCTTTATGGCTTTGAGAAATGAAACATGCATGAGTTGATGATATATGTGTTCGATTTTTAATACTTAGTCCACCATAGATTATACAACCATTTATAAATATATATAATATATATATGTACTTCGTCATTGTTGTGGATACATGATTTACCTTTCTTCAAATTAATTATATTTTGGTTCCTTTACTTAATTACATCAATAATTTTTGTTCCAGTAATTCTCCCTACAAATTTACATACTATATGTTTCTTAGTATTCCAATTCAAGTTTTAATATATCCTAGTTCCTTATTTTAATACAAAGTTATGACAGCAATGAAAGTTACTCATGCTTAATCAACTATAGGCGGTCTTTTTTAATGCAAGTAGCAACTCAACTAGTAATAACTTCAATATTTAAGACCCCAGATTCTCATAACAGCTACTAACAAACATTGTACAAGTTGTCTAATGCAGACATCAGTTCATATATTAACTTTTAAAGAGCTACAATACCTTCTTCCAGCCACCTCTCAAATTAATCCCTACTCGTATAAAGCATGGATTGTCACAAAAACAGGCCAGGGTGTTTTAGTACATAAGATTAAAGTACAAGCAAATCGTAAAGTCTGATCACACCAGACTATATCTGAAACTTTCAGACCAATCAGACATTACAAAATTCATATCAGAATGTCTTAAAATTTAGGTGAAGAGAATATAGCCCGAGACATATATGGTGCTCTTGCGGCAGTTGCAACAATACTTAAACTATTCCGATTAAACATTGAACCTTCCACATACAACCTTATTCTACTCATCTCTTGATTCCTCAATTGATTGCATCAATTATTATTTTAGCACTTCAGACGTACAATTTGGCATATTATATATTTTAGAAAATGAGCATCCAACTCTATCCAAGTATGAATTTTTGTAATTTACTAATGTATTATAGAAGCAGTGACGACAAGAATAACCGTTTAATTAATTACCGGTGTACTTTCATTAACAAGTATCAAGCAAGTAGTAATAGATTTAACACATCCATCTCATAGATACTCAGAACAACCTAACAAACATTGTCCAAGTTGACTTGTGGCATAAACAAATTTACATTGTAACATTTTACCAATTAAAGATTTATTACGGAGTACTACCTTCTTCCACAAAGACATTCCCAAATTCAACCCAACAACTTATCCCGAAAATTTAATCGACTAGAACACAATTATCCTCCAAAAAAACATAAATTCTTTTTTTTTTTTTTTCTCCTTAACATTGCAAGGCAATGGTTTACTCAATTAAAAGGTGCTAAATTTTTATACTAATTTCAACCCATACCTAAATTTCTGTATTATAATCATAATAACAATGACTTCCAAGAGTCCCAACGAAATTCAATTCTAACAAATTAAAATTATTACCAGGAACAAGCGCACAATACAAAGAAGCTTGACTACATACTGAATCCAATAAATTATCCAATATACCATGAAATTAAAATCACAAAGTAAATAAATAGAAGATTGAAATGAAAAAATAATAATAATAATAAAGAAAACATGAGATTTGCCAGGAAATTCAAGTTGATTGATGTACAAGTGTGTCACAGCAGCCTTGGCGACTCCACCAGCGAAAAGCTTTAGGGCAAACAAGGACTCAAGGGAGAAGAGAGGAGTGAGCAAATAACTATAGTGATGAGACTGATGCCTAAAGAAGTAATGAAGGACTAATGAAGAAGAGAGGAATAATTTAATTTAGACTCTAATGCTCTATTCAGTTCACCTCAGATCTGATCAAAGTCAGCCCGGCCCGAATCAGCCCGATATTGGGCAGATTCATTCGGCCCAAAATCAGGTTGGGCCCAGCCTGATTATCTAAATTTTCGGGTTTAAGAATGCATTTTTATGCAATTTAAATATTTTAAAACCTCATTTAAATGTTTTATGCAACTTTTAATAAAAATAGACGTTAAATATTACGTGCAATTTTTTCAAATCTTTTTATTTTTAATAAAAAAAATTAATAAAATTACAAAAATACCCTTACTTAAAAATTTATAACCTTAATTACATTCTAAAAACAAAATTAATTACTAACTAATCTAACCAAATTAACTAACCCCCATGCTTACCAAATTTATATCATCTCCCCCAATAACTCATTGAAATCAACCAAATTACCTCAATCTTTTATGCTAAAAATCATCAAATTTCTCCACATTCATACCCTAATTTTTCACCTTCATCATCTTCCCCATTAACTTTCTTTCTCCTCCTTCGACCTCATTTCAGATCTGGTACTATGAAGAAGAATACAACGAAGAAGAAGACGATTAAGGTTGTTGTCGGTGGGTTGGATGGGTTTTTGTTGAGGTTGGGCGGGTTCGTGGGTGGTTTGGTTTTCGTGGGTGGTTTGGGTTTTCGTTGGGGTTGAAAGGTTTCGTTGGTGATTTGGGTTTCGCAGAGGTGGTTTTCGTGGAATTTCATGTGGGTGGTGGTGGGTTTCGTAGAGGTGGTTTTCGTGGGGTTGTTTTTTGTGGAGGTGGTGGCCTGGGTTTTCGTGAGGGTGGTGGTGGTAAAGCCGGTGTTGAAGGCGCGGTGGTCTCGATAAAGTCAATGTGGGTGGTGTTGGTGGTGACGGTGGGTGATTGATTAATTATCCACACATTCTCTCTCCTCCTTAATAACATACCCCTTTAATTCATTCTCTCTCCTCTCACCTTAATTACTTCCCATTATTTTTCCTAATCTTTGCCCCTTAAATTTTGCCTTGGTTTCTGTAAAACCCTCCAAAGTTGCATAAAACATTTTACGGAGGTAGTATTTTTTTTGCCCGGCTCAAAAATGGTCTGTAAAGCCCGTATGGCTCAGGGACTTTGGGCAGGTTTGGACACATAATTTTTTGCACGTATTTTGCCCCGACCCGAGCCAAGAAGTGGGCTGTTTTTTTGCCTTAGCCCAACCAAAACCCGACCCAACCCGACTCGTCCAATGATCACCTTTAGTTCACCTCTAAACCACCAAAATTGTCAAATTCCATATTTATACTTCCACCTCAACAACTCAACTGCCATACAACGTCATTCATGCATATAGATTGAATTTTACAAATATGCAACAAAAAATTATAAAAATGTATTCACGTTAATAAAAATAAGTTTAGTTCAGCAAAAATAAGTTGATTTAAGTAAAAATTATAAATTTAAACAAGAAATATAATAAGGGAATCAGTAAAATAAAAAAAAATTAGTTTAATAAAATTAATTTCTGTTTGATAAAATTAATTTCACTTTATTAAAAATAATTCCATTTCAGTAAAAATAAAATAGAGTGAATAGGACCTTAATTTCTCAAGCGAGGATTAATTTATTTTGATAAAATTATGAGCTCTTTCCCAAATTAAAGTCAAGAAGAACCGCAATTCCCAAATTGCAGCCAAAGTTTTAAGTTTTCCCAAAGTACCGTCCACGTCACCGGTTCAGGGGGAAGAAATTTTAAATCCGGTCTACAGCAAAACCGCTACCTGAAGTAGCGGTTTTTACTAATAAACCGCTACTTCAGGTAGCGGTTTCTTTTTAATAAACCGCTACTTCAAGTAGCGGTTTTTGTTTAATAAACCGCTACTTCAAGTAGCGGTTTTCTAGCAGGTATAATTTCCTGATTTCACTTTCCGCTTTCATTTTCGTCTTCTCACCAAAATCCCATCCACGCCTTCCACCAAAATCACACCTCCTTCAACGGAAGCCGGCGCAGCCAAGGAATCCACCGACGCCGCCGGAGCATTCCTCAGCAACGAAGGCCGCCGCTGTTGACGCCGAGGGTTCGACTTTAGTGGTCGGCTTCGCTAATTTCAGAAGAAACGTGCTGATCTTCTTGTTTGTGGTAAGTGCCCTAATTATTTTTTGTATTCAGTTATTGGGTTTGTTGTTGTTATTGAGTTTGTTGTTGTTATTGAGTTTCAGAATTGTATGTATGTGTTGTTGTTGTTGGTTTTGGTTGTGTTGTTGTTGTTAGTGTTCTTGTTTATTGTTGTTGTTATTGAGTTTCGGTTTTGGTTGTGTTGTTGTTGTTAGTGTTCTTGTTTTATTGTTGTTGTTATTGAGTTTCGGTTTTGGTTGTGTTGTTGTTGTTAGTGTTCTTGTTTATTGTTGTTGTTATTGAGTTTCAGAATTGTATGTATGTTTGTGGTTGGTTTTGGTTGTTGTTGTTGATTTACTTACCTTACATATAACCCTTGTAGAATTATTAATGGTTTCGATCACATTACTCAGTTTAGGTTGCTATAATTGCTGATTTTGAAAGTGAAAATAGAGCTTCTATACACAAAGTACATGAGCTCAAAGTACATGTAGTCATGACTTATGCCCATGTTGAGCTTCAAGAGGTATTAAGACCTTCATAGCTCAGTTTAGGTTGCTATAATTGTGTAGTTTGCTTGCTTGATGTTAGGACATTGCCACACTGTTAATGAATTTTTGCAATCTAATATCTTTGATTAATAATGGTCTTTTCTAGAATGAAACATGGAGGTTCCGAACTACCCTCTATATTGCTATTGGGGTGGAGAAATTGTCCACAAAGATAGCGATATAACGTATAGGGGTGGGAATCAAAAATTTGTGTTTGTACATTCTGCGATGACATATTCACAAGTTCTGAACAAGATATATGAAGAATTGAGTGTTGATCCTAGAGGTGTGGAGTTGAAGGTGGTTATGCGTTATCCTATGGCTGGGGCATATGTTGCAATTCCGTTAAATGACGACAACGCTGTTAGAGCTATGTGGATTGCTGTGACTCAGAGTTCTTCTGTTGCAATGCAATTGTTCATTGAACAAGTTCCAAAGGAGCCAGTTGTGCAAACTAACACTGGTTCCTTTCCGGGGATGGATTTTTTTGGTAGTGTGGATCAACCGTTTTCCACTGGTGTTCAAAGTGTGGGCATAGGGTCATTCACAAGAATGCTTGTTGATCCACATTATGTCAATGACCATCTCTCACAGTTTAGGTCTCCGGCCTCATCGCCTAATGTTGGAACCTCGACAAGCACACAACCACAAGGCATTCTTGATTCTCTTGACCCAAACAATGTTGATGTATTTGGCGATGCAGAGATGAATGACACTGATGAAGATGATGATGAAGAGGTAATTGAAGCTCGTGATAAGGCAATTAAAGGAAGCGCCCCCACTTCAGACTTCAATGAAGTGGCGCAAGTTGATCCTCGTTTGAATAACTCATGGATGTCTTGGTTAGGAAATGAGACTTAGATGAATGACACTGATGAAGATGATGATGAAGAGGACCCTGAGGCTGAGGATGAGGATGACATTTTGGGGACTCAGCATCAGCGAGGTGTTGACCCTTTGGCGTGCAGGTACAATGTTTGCTTCAAGTTCATGTTCTTACAATTCTATCTTTCAAGAATTATTATTAACATGTCTTTACAGGTGGTTACGTGTCCATCTATCGTGTGCGCATACTGCTTCTGGACTACCATACTACAGAGATGCGTTTGACCATCAGCGCGAGGACCAGGTACAATCGGTGTTTCTTTTTTTTTTTTGCATTGTATTTCTTCCATTATGTTAGTCATATACATGTTGACATACTTGTTTTGGGAATTAGATGATTTGGCAGCCATATACTGAGGCGGTGATGGATCGACTTCCGGAGATTTGTCGCTCAGACATGCACATTTGGCGTTCACGGGCACCTCTGATATGCTTTGACGTCGTTGAGTTCCACCTCCCAGACCGAGTCCTTCGTCAGTTCGGGTTAGACCAGCCGATCCCACAGGATGTAGACACGGACGTTGCTCTACACAGGAAGGATCGAAGGGGACAGCGTAATTGGGAGATTCGGCATTCGGACCATGTACACGAGTGGAGTCGACGAGAGGCATTAGTCGTCCAGGGATACCCGTTCACTGGGACTTCTTCCCCGGCCATGACAGAGTACATGGCTTGGTACCGTCGCATCACGAGGCTGGTCATTACTCCACCTTCGCAGGAGCGCCCCCCGAGTCATTACCAGCCAGCTACCTCTGACCTCCTGCTTGTATGAACTTCACTTCATTTCAATCTAGTTCTTACGTTTTTGATTTCATTTTACTAACATTAAACTACACTTAAATGTAGGCACATGCATTTGCTGATTTGCACGTCCAGCTATCGGGAGCTACTGAGACCATCTCCCACTTGCCACCAGAGACGGCTATACCATTTGCCATACAGACGATGCAGGGTTTTACATCATTTTGTGGCCAAACCTTGTCTAGGGTGGGGCAGTCACACCTTATTCAGCAGCCTCGACCGTCCACGTCTTCATCTTCTACTGTGCACACTATGCCGATCAGACCACCACCTCATCGTGGAGGCCATTCAGCACGTGCCTTCCGTCCACCGACTCCTTCTCAGCATACTATCATGACATCTCCTCCACTAGTGCATCGCCAGTATCAGAGAAACCGACGGCGTAGCAACACTACGTCTGGGGTTGGAGTTGGCCTGGATGACATTCCAGAGGAGACAGCTGCATCATCTTCATCGTCACCTCATGGGAAGAAGCAACGCCCGAGCTAAGTGTATATTTTGGAACTAAACTAATTTTTTTGTAAATGCTTAGAATTGGATTTTGTTATATTTAATCAATTGAAAAATATTCGACTTTGCAATTTCGACTTCCTTAGATCTTCATAAACTTGTTATTTATGGTGGTTGTGTTGAAAATATGCTATATATCTCATGTTTTACAGGTACACAACTTGCAGGTTTTTTTTTTGAGTGATTATGCAAGTTTGAAAAAAAACCAGTCCAGGGTAAACCGCTACTTCAAGTAGCGGTTTTTCAAAGTAAACCGCTACTTGAAGTAGCGGTTTTCCAAAATAAACCGCTACATAAAAATAGCGGTTTTTTGTAAACAAACCGCTACTTCAAGTAGCGGTTTTAAACTAAGAAACCGCTACTTGAAGTGGCGGTTTATTGCAAAGAAACCGCTACTTCAAGTAGCGGTTTACCCTAGACCGGAAAAAAAAACCGGTTTTTTAACCAGTGCTTACGTGGACGGTAGAATGGGAAAACTTAAAACTTTGGCTGCAATTTGGGAATTGCGGTTCTTCTTGACTTTAATTTGGGAAAGAGCTCTAAAATTATAGCGGGACATAAAAGAGATATTATGTGAAATTATTTACTAGTTTCAATTTTTTAAGTAAGAAGAAAGAAAAGTGATAAAACATTTTGTATAGGTTTTAAAAATAAAAAATAAATACTGTACTGAGTAAAATATAATACTTTCTTCATTTTTTTATCCTACCATTTATTGTTCACTTGAAACAAAATGGTAAAGTGAAAAGTTTTACCATTCTTATTTTTCTCCCGTTGCCTAACCAATAAATACAAACTTATTTCTTGGTTTTCAGGCACAAAAACAGACACACAAAACAAGTCTATTCTACACTTTTATTGTTCCTAATCATTCCTCTTTCAAGCAATTCTAAACGACGTTATAATACTCGAAATACTACTCTTAAATCTAGCTTAGGCGTGAAGGGCTAAATTATTGAGGGTTTGAGTTAGGGAGACACGATCAAGTTTTAAAAAAGTAGGTTTTATTTTTACTTTTTAAGTAGGAGAGAGATAGTTGTTAAGATTGTAACTGTGCTACAATTGCTCCAATGTAGTTTCAGATGTAGAATAGAGTGCTCAAGGTTACAGTTCCTAAACTCTAGGATGAAAAGATGGTTTAATGAGCTGCATGATCAAGTTAACCAACTAATCTAATTACTTGTCTTGTATGAGTCATACATTTGATCCTATGCTTGCTGTGAATATTTTTCTATTTTTTGTTTGGCCAAAATCATTTCATTACTGATGATTATTGGTCTTTTACTAGTTTACAGAGAACTTATGAGAAAAAAATAAAAATAAAAAAAAATCATATTATATTAGTTTACAGACATCTTATGCACAAACTACCGGCCACTTAATATAGTCAGATCGGAAACAAGGTTTATAGAAACGTGTTCTTCACCATATTGAGGAACTACTTCATCATCAGTGCTATAAATTTTCTTTTGTGTAAAACCAGGTTTCTTTGGACGTGGAAGGTCAGCAACATCATCAACATCAAGCATGGAAATTAATGCCGAAATGGTTGGCCTATCTTCAGGATATTCTTGCACACATAATAGCCCCAGTTGTATGCATTTCAATATCTGAACTCGAAAACTTCGGTCAAAATCTATTGCTGGATCAATTAGTCTAAGTATATCATTTTCATTCCATAATTTCCATGCCTGAAAGCATCCAAACAAATGTGTTAGTTACTTAGACTTTCATATGATCTTTAACAAAAACACAACTTGACAAGCGAAATTAAAGTAAATTTTTGTTAGTGAAATGAAGTTTATATCAAATAACATACATAAGATAAAAGGCTTAAGGATTCATAATTTGAAAAGCTATTGTTCCTTCTGCCACTGACAATCTCTAATAGCAGCACTCCTAGACCAAATACATCCGATTTTTCAGAGAATCGACCTTCCATGGCATACTCTGGAGACATATACCCACTGCTTGCATATCAGTGAAAAATTCATTATTATACCTTTTGGTAAAAGTAATAATATGCTAAACTATTAGGAAACTTACTAGGTACCAACAACCCTTAAGGTATTGGCTTGATCTTGCTTGCTCCCAAATATCCTAGCCATTCCAAAGTCTGATATCTTTGGATTGAGCTCTTCATCGAGCAAAATGTTGCTTGCCTTGAGGTCTCGATGTATAATCTTCAACCTAGAATCTCTATGAAGATAAAGTAGGCCTCGACATATCCCTTCAACAATAATGAAGCGCTTCATCCAGTCCAAATCTTTCCGAAGATGTGGATCTAACAGCATAAAGAAGATTGTGGCATTGTCAATCTTAATTAATAATTTACAGCATAAGATACTGTAATAATAAGATATTATAAAACATACCAAAGAGAATTGCATCTAAGCTCTTATTTGGCATGTATTCATAAACTAACAGTTTTTCCTCTTTTTCTACACAGCAGCCCAACAGTCTGACAAGATTTTTGTGTTGAAGTTTTGAAATCACTACTACTTCATTCATAAATTCTCGTAAGCCTTGTCCAGATCCTCTTGAAAGTCTTTTAACCGCTATTTCTTTCCCATCTTCCAACTTTCCCTGACAATAATATTATCGTATCATTCAACTCAAACTGTTGCTTTTGTATATGTATTGACTGATTCTGTTCTAGTTAAACAAAAACTGTTACCTTGTACACAATACCAAAACCACCTCGTCCAATCTTGTTCATTAAGGAAAAAGAATTTGTTGCAACTACTAACTTATCAAATTTAAAGAGTGGTAAATCTTGGAATTGAACTTGATCCATTCTATCATCTAACGTGTTATGTAATGAAAAATCTTTTCGGCCCTGCAATAGCAATAACTCTCTTGATGTTACAAGATCAGAAATGCACATACTATACTAATTATCAGAGAACTTAGAATAAAAAGGTGTCATCACCACTCACCATATCGTTGCCTCAACAATTTCCATCCGTAGCACATGAAGCCAATAAAAATAATTGCACCCAAAATCGCCAAAACTGTAGTAATTATGAGTTTTTGTTTAGGCTCACCTATACAATGAGAAGAACAGCACCTTCTGTAATCAATCTCTCATCATCTGATACCAATAGATCAAAGAATACCTCTCTAAGTGAAAGAATTGGTTCTCCTTACTTTAAATGGTTTGAGTTAATTACGAACAGACTAACAGTCTATACTGGTTCACAAAGTAATTACAAGGAATTGTAATAAGTTGAGATGTTTACCTAATTCTGAATGAGCCAAGCGGATGAAAAGAGCAGCACCTTCAGCAGAATATTGTTGTATATCAACAAGGCTTGCATTCCACATCATGCATCCAATTCCTGTATAATATGCAAAAGCGATACATGAACAATTCTGTAAGCACTTCCTCTCACAACCATCTTGACCACCCGAAGACAACCAGTAAGCATAATCTGGCACTTTCATGTGCTCCAGCCTTAGAAACTTATCTGATTTTCCTTCTAGTGTACCACATTGTAGTGGTGTTCTGCGAAAACACCCACTAGTCCAATTTCCTTTGTTCCATTCATCCTTGTTATTTGGCTCGAAACCTTTCAAGCAACTACAAATTGGTGAGTTCTTGGGGTCACAACTTCCAAACACACCACACTTTCCGTAAACATCACACTCAGACTCAGAAGAATTCCAATAAACTTCCCGCTTCCCGCTACTATCTCTCCAATACTCTTGAAACAACCTGCCATCATAATTTAACACCAATCGTTCCAACAATGATAGATTCGCCACTGAATAAGACACCTCGAGTTTACCTTGAATTTTATTATTTATTTGAAATCCATTAGAAACTTCTGAATGCATATAAGGGATTCCAAGAAATAGATTACCATTCCAAGGGCCGGATCTCCAACATGGATTATAACCGTCCATAATGAAAAATTCAGGAAGGTTTCGAGGAAGACTTACAAAACTGAAGCGTCCACTTGATGGATCCGAAGCACTCTTCCAAGATCGAAGCAATGAGCTACCATTTGTATGCATATCAAGGGTGACCGTCACTGGAGGCAGCACCGAGTTTGTTAAATGATCGAAGCTCTGCCAGATGGTCTCACCACTAACATTCGAAATCAGAACAAGATTTCCTGTATCTAAAAGCTGAGCTACTGAATTATTTGCCTGATGACCTTGAGATATATTTGTTGACCAAATGCTCTTGTTTTGTCCATCCAATACTTGAAGATTTCCATTCTCGGAAATTCCGAACACCCCATCAGAAGAGTTAATTAGAGGATTATCTCTGTTAGCTATCCATACAACTTCTGATATACCAGACTCTGAATCCTGCTTGTTACTATACCAGATCCCAACGTATCGATTTGTCGAATTAGTTGGACTGAAAAAACCAACCATAAAATTGCCATTACTAGAAGCTAATGCTTCTGGGTCTCTTAGAAACTGAGTAGTTGTGATGTTACTGATGCGAGTATAATTGGTTGTTGCTGCTGCAAAGAATACGAAAAGAAACCAAGAAATGCATACAAGAAAAGTGTAAATATTATTCATTGTATGCAATTGTACCTTATTGCCTAAGGAAGTATGATAATTCATTGATTTCCTTGAATGTAATGAACATAATTTCATATGTACGACTTTAGTTACTGACTTTCCGGAATTTCATCGTCAAAGACAATTGACATACTAGTAGTTAATTAGCTTACTTACGTGAGTATATTTGAATTTCTTAGCTTTCTCTTTATAAAATGGAGACAGTCAAATAAGCCAACAGTAGGCGAAAGTGACTTGAGTTTAATTTAAGATTAGCTCTCATCATTAGGATTATTGTTAATTTGTCATAATCTTCATTAACGACCTTACGCTCATCTATTAAACTTTTTCTTCATCCTTTATTGATTGTTCGATTTTTAAAAGCTGTGAGCTTATTGCAATGAAATTTATTGTCTATGATACGTAACTAAAGAATGGAAAGATGAAGGTCTTCAACCTAAAAAAAGAACTCCGTGGGTCCAATGGGGGGGTTTTCTAGGCGTAGCAATTTATGTCGTGTTAGCTTATTTGTGTGAGCATATGTGAATTTTCTTAGTCTTCTTATTATAAAATGAAGACAGTCAGATAGGCCAACAGTGGGTGAAAGTGACTCAAGTTTAATTAAAGATTAAGTTCTTTTCATTAGGATTGTTATAATCTTCTTTAACGACCTTATACACCTCGTTTTAATAAATTAATTTTTCTTCGGCCATTGATTATTTGATTGTTAAACAATGATAATTGTCATTATTAGCTTTAATATGTAACTAAGGAAATGAAAGATGATGGTCTTCCAGCCAAAATAAATAAATAAAATAAAAGATGGAGGTCCATTAAGGATTTCCCTAGCATGGCAATCTATGTAAGTCATGTGTTAGCGTCTGCATTGACTGCATATATGTTGCGTGACGTATACGGACTCCTCTGTTTTTTTTAATTGCATCAGGCCATTTGGGTTGAGCACATAATTTAAGAAATGAGTAAAAGTGAGGTAAAAGGAGTATATAACATATGTAAAAAGCATAAAATAGGTTATTTGGTATGCGAATACCAATAAAAAGTGTATGGAAATATATCCATTATAAAAATGATATAATTAATATACTACTTTTCTAAAAAGAAAATTATGCAATTTAAAAAAAAAAAAATAGAGGAAGTATATATTTAATACCCCTCTAGCATGAAGCACACTCAAGGGTATAATAAACGAGATGAAATGAAAATTATTTTTGAGGTACGGTATTAATTTTGTCATTGATCATTGATTCTTTGTAAATAAAGACAACATGCACACAATTATTGCTCATTGGAACATACACTTATAATAAATAAAAGAATAATTGCATAATTAGCGTCACTCTGTCCACACCATAATATGATTGCCATTAAAAAATTAAGAGAACAAATGTTTAACCAAGAGAATATACCAGCACAAAAACCACCTATTATTCTAGCTCTTTGTCTAAACCTTTTATTTTGCAAAATCTATCTTATTTATAAGCCTTCCTAATTATCCCATTTTTCATACCACTTCTTTCAAATTTCTTTCCATCAATAATATTCTTCTCCTTCAATTACATATCAAAGTCATCTTATAAATTAAAAATAAAATCAAAAACAATTTGAATGGTACACACAGTTAGCAACTTAGCTTCTTTCATGCCTTCTCTACATTTCAACATCCCATCTATTGCACGTCCTATGAAACAAGCGCAGCCCGGTCGCGCTTCCTTCATATTACTCCTCTCTTCTTCTTTCAGCTCTTGTAAGCAAGCTTGGTACTATCGCTGCCTTGGCCTTGACCCTTAGACAATTTTTTTGAAATAAAGTCCATAATTTTATCGTCCTTCCTTTTGCCTTGTTATAAGGGTTAATTACAAGTTAGGTGCTATAGTATATACCATTGATCAATATATATAAGGGTTACAACGTTATAAACAAAAAAATGAGGAGGAATTTATCGGAGAATATGATGACTAGCCTGTACTCCGGCGACAAACAGAAGAAGGGCAACTGCTTCGAGTGTAGCAAGGGTAGTATCAATGACCGCGACAACAAACGTTTGTTGGTGATTATCAATGTGCTAGGAAGTGCAGGGCCTTTGAGATTTCTAGTAAATGAAGAGGATGTTGTTGACGGAGTTATTGCCACTGCTTTGAAGTTGTATGCTAAGGAAGGTCGCCTCCCTATATTGGGTTCCGATTCTACTAAATTTCTCCTCTATTGTTCCCATGCTGGTTCTGATGGTAAGCTCAACATGCCCTTCTCTTAAAGCTTTTGTATATTATTGGCAATATAAAGTTTATTTATTACGTCTAAGCTGGTTAAGTTCATACCTAAAGGGCAATGATATAGATTGGACACGAGACACTCAAATCTCTAAATTTAAATTGTCAATATCTATGCACTTCCTTCCTAAAAGACAATGATATAGACTGAACACGAGACAATCAAATCTCTTAATTTAAATTGTCACTACAAAATATATATGTACTTCCTTTATATTTGTTAATGAATAACTTAAGTCATCAATATCGTTAACAAGGTTTTATATATGATATGACTATATTTGTCAAGGTTTTAATACAGTTAACGACAAGTGTACATCAAATTTACAGCCCTAGGCACATGGGACGAGATTGGATCATGTGGAGGGAGGAACTTTGTGCTATGCAAGAAGCCAGAGCAGCCATCAAATATGAGTGAGGCAAGATCCCAAATGATTTCCCAAAAACGAGGTAGGGGTTGGAGAACCTGGCTCAACAAATCTATGAGCATCAAAATATAAATCCAATTCAAAGGTCAATATAAACTTTTTAATTTACTTATATTTATCACAAGAACTTATTACATCAAAATTTAGCATTTTTTTTAATGCATACAAAAAATTATTGTAGAATCTAATCGCTTAATTGTGTTGTTTAATAATTAGCGGTTAAAGTATGTACAAAAATAAAGCTATATATATATACGTACTCTTGTACATTCCTATATTATTATATTATGTGATATTGTCAGTGATTGGAAGAATTGATCTACCAAACTATTAAATTTTATTTGAGAGATCAGGGTTCACTTCTCATCCTCTCGGTAATGAGTCATGATTAATGTATCATCGCATTTGTCATTGTTGTACAAAGTGTCAAAGTCTATGAGATTGTCGCGTTAATTGTGTATTATATATAGTACTCCATCTGTCCCTTATTCACATACTTATTTCTCTTTATTATATGAGTAATAAATGTTAAAAATAGGCATGTAAATAAGGGAGAGAGGGATTACTATGAAAAACAATATATTACACAAAGGAATAAGCAATAACCTCAAAGTCGTCTATGAGAATGATGTGATGCATGTGTATATAAATGATTGGTTACATTGGTATTGTACGATGTGATACAAGTACGGAATTATCATTCAGCCAATGCATAATGAGATTCATTATTTCACTTAATTATTACTCCCTCCGTCCTCTTTTGTTTGTCATTTTTAAAGGAAAATCACGGGAATTAAGGTGGAGAATGTGAATTAATAAAAGTATATGGGAAAGTGAAATTCTTAACATAAAGTAATAAAAGTTCATGGGAAAGAGATATTTCTAATTAAAAAAGTAATTAAAGTAAATGGGTAAGAGAGATTGAGAAATTAAAAAAAAAACATTAAATTAGTCAAAAGTTGGCACAATTTTTATGGCAAATGTTAGGGTAAAATAGGAAGCTAAGAGGACTTAATAGGGACAAAAAAATTAAGGGTATAAAAATCTTTTTATGTATCTTAATAATTACGAAAATATGGAATGTGACAAACATTTAGGGGCACTCAAAATGACAAAAGCGACAAACAAAAGGGGACGAAGGTAGTTAATAAATTGTCGTTCAACCAACCAAGCTAAGCGTCTACTTACCAATAATTAAAGGGAAAAAAAATTAAATACATTCCTAGACAACAGCCACGAAAATGCACAAGATTATTGTGTTGGAGTTTGGAAAGATGGCATCCACTTCGTTTATAAATTATCATATAGACTCCACCTGAAATCACAGCTGCTTATAACAATCAACTAGTTTTGTATGTGGCTTGCCACACCGTGTGGCCACTTATAAAAAAACAAAGTAATCCTTATAACTTCGACCAAGTAACCCTTGTAAGATTGATCGAGTAACCTATATAACATTGACCGAGTAAGCCTATAACGCTGACAAAGTAACCCCTTTAACATTGATAAATTAACCCCTTTAACACTGACAAAGTAACCCCTACTACACTGTGGCTGGCTATACCGTTTGGCCAGCCACATATAAGAGTTAGTAAATAGGGCGAACAAAAAACAAAAAGGAAATACTTATTAACAAAAATACTAAGTACATACACTTACTAGAAACATAAATACATTTTATTTAGGGGAACCGAAGCTTAAATTGTAGCTACCTGGTGTACACCCCTATGTAACCAGGAGAGGGCCTATGAATCCTATCCTCGGTAGTGGGCATTTGGCACCAATACCCATCCTCCTCTATTATGCCATAAAATACTTCAATTTGTTCGGCAAAGCAATAGGGCACTCCCCACCAGTCATATAGAGCGGCATCCATCAGCCCAAAGTTCTCAGGGGGGGTTATTCCACTCAGCGGCCCCAGATGGAAGTTGCCGAGGCCCAGTTTCCGAACTACTGCCAGAGGTGTTCGCCTCTTTCGAGCCTTGGAAAGGCACTGAAGCTAGCGGAATCGCGGCAATGGGGGCCTCTCCCGAAAAAGCCCTAGTTTCCCTCTTAGGGCGAGAGGTTCGGTTGCTTAAAGGCGGAATATGCCCAAGTGGCTGATTGCACCGAGAGCCCACTTGAGGAACTTCCTCTTCCTCATCAGCTACCATTGGTCTATTTCCTCGGTCTTAAGCCATTTTTATGTGGAGAATCGAGAAAAAGGAGAAAGCTTTGAAAAATAGGGAATGAAATCCGAACAAGTTTCGAAGAAAATTACCTCTATCGGACGCGGAATTTGCCGATCTACACGTTTGGAGCAACAAATTTCAGTCTAAGGTTCGGAATTGCAAAGAATGCTTGGAAATAGAAATGCGGTTTGCAGTGGGAAAATTGCGAAAATCAGAAAGTGTTTTGCAAAGAAGTGAGGAGAGAGAATGGGTTTAGCGGCTATTTATACATTTTTCTGGAACAGGTTTTGTGGGAATTCCAACCACTAAAAACCCCACTAACTACCCTTCTCCACTTATTTACCCAATAATAAACCCTCTAAATTCCACAATTACTCTCTATAAACAGCAATAATCGTCCACCTTCCCTAATTATTCTCCATAAACGGCAGTTACAGCCTCAAAGACCTCCCAAATTCCTAATTCAAACACTTGTTTCCCTCCAATTTTGCAAGTTAAAACCCAGGCAAGTTGTTCGGGTTCAATTCAGTCATCCAATTGGGCCGGTCCAAATGATTGATTACAAAATTCCAAAGCAAGGTTCAACTCTCCAGTACATGCCGAGTCAGTCAAGCCCAGTCAGCATGGCAAGCCCATGTGACCTGTGGCCAGTTCATCCATTGAGCAAGGTATAAAAGCCTTCAATTGCCTCATTATCATTCATTCAATACAAGCTTCAAGCACTAAATTCTCTTGCATAGCTTTCTCTCTCTTAGAACATTGAACTGACTTTAGCATCGGAGGGGCCTTCCTCGGCACAACCCCTGAGGCTAGTTAACTTGTGTTTGCTGTGCAGGAAATCCTCGGCCCAGTCTCCACTTGGACCGAGCTCAGTCTTCTCCCACCGAAAAGGGTCTGTCGAAGGTCCTATTGTTTTCATACCGAAACACGAAGTAAATTTGATCAAAGCTGATTTGACCAAAAAAAGTTCAGCGTCAAAATAAAATGAAAGGAAATGAAAACATTTGCACAATAAGTTTTGGATCTCATGTATATATGAGTATATGACTACTCCTTTTTGTCCCCTTTTATTCTCTCTAAAGGAGTGTAGTCACTTTTTAAATTTATTTTTGGTTGATGAAAGAAGTTGATAAGAGAAAAAATAGTAGGCTCGGTCGCTCAAATGTAATAATTATAAGAGTAAAATTATAGTCCCTAATTAAAAAAAAAAATAATGTAGGACAAATTTAAAAGGACAAACTAAAAAGAAACATAGGACAATTCTAATATTTAAAGACGGAGGGAATACAAATTATATTCATGTTTGCAGTTGAGCTATATTACAATTTCTTATAATAAAAGGTATAATTACATTAAATGGGAAGTTTAATTATATTATCGAGCACTAAAATGAGAAGTTAGGGAAACATTGTTCACAGAGCAATTTTCTTGGTCATAATTCTGAGGGGATCTCCTAGGACATTGAGTTTTGCCTTGCATAAATACAGGCTGCATTGGTTGTGGAAGATCTGTAATTTCACTGTCAAGCATGGAAATAACGGTCGAAATCGACGGCCTTTCTTCAGGAAGTTCTTGAACGCATAACAATCCAACTTCAATGCATCTCAAAATTTCCTCATGGAAGCATGGATCGTTGATTGTAGTATCAATCAGTGAAAGAACGTTATCCTCATTTCGCAACTTCCAGGCCTAAAACAATAAGCAACAATTGTTTAATTACTTGTGTTCAATCAATCAATAATTACTCAAAATAATATACAAAACATAGAAGTTGAAAGGATTTTGTAGGATTAGCTTACATATCCTATGAGGTTCAATGAATCGTCGTCATTAAAACTAGTATTCTTTCTGCCACTAACAATCTCTAGGAGTAGCACCCCAAAGCTGTATACGTCTGATTTTTCGGAAAAGCGCCCTTCCATTGCATATTCAGGAGACATATAACCGCTGAAGTAGTTATAAATAATCAACAAGTTAGTAACTTACATACTAATCATTTTATAAATTACAATTCATTAAAAAGTTCCATAGATATTATTCATATACTTACTAGGTGCCAACAACTCTATTGGTATTTCCTTGATCTTCTTTGCCACCAAATATCCTTGCCATGCCAAAGTCTGATATCTTAGCATTGAGGTCTTCATCCAACAAAATGTTGCTTGGTTTAAGGTCTCTGTGAATAATCCTCAGTCTAGAATCACGATGCAGGTAAAGAAGGCCGCGACAAATCCCTTCAATAATATTCAAGCGCTTCTTCCAGTATAGAAGTTCCTGTGCTCGTGGATCTGATGAAACAATATACAAACAATTTAGTAAAATTAGTAGCTTATGATGCTATTAGATGGATTTTGATGATGTATTATGTATTTATATAGTAAGGGTAAGATCGCCGCATTGACTTATAAAATATAGAACTTACCAAACAGAAATGCATCCAAACTTTTATTAGGCATACATTCGTAAACCAACATTTTTTCTTCCCCATCAACACAACAGCCAAGAAGTTTCACAAGGTTTCTATGTTGGAGTTTGGAGATGACATCCACTTCGTTCATAAACTCTTGTAGGCCTTGTCCTGATTCTCTTGAAAGCCTTTTGACAGCGATTTCTTGTCCGTCTTCTAATATTCCCTAAAACGAAACATTAAACTATAAATATCTAACTTCTTTTTCCTGTTCATACACCCATTGTTCCCCCATAATTACCCTGTATTAAGTCAGGGAAAAACCACCTTGTCAAGTTATATAGTGATCCAACTTCAAAGACATAACTATACATTACCTTAAACACTGGACCGAAACCACCTTGCCCAAGCTTATTTCTTAAGTCAAAGTTGTTTGTTGCGGCTACCAACTCTTCAAATTTAAACAATGGTAAATCTTGCAATTTCACATCATCAAAACCGGATTCTAACTTGATACTATGCGAATGTGTGTCATTCCTGATAGCATTACTTTCTGCAGCAAGCAAGAGAAATATAAATATAAGAAACGCAGGAAGTTCAAAATATGTTGGTACAAAAATTATGTATAAGTAGAAATAAAATATCACCATTTCTTCTCCTCATTCGTCTCCATATATAGTACATGACTAGAGCAACTATAACTACTCCCAAAACCAGTGTGATTGCAAGAATAAGTTTCCATCTGCTCCCAGTTTCATCTGCAAAATTGACGAAAAATCCACATTAAACAAGATAAAGAAAGAAATATATACAGAAGTTCAGAGCACAAAAAATATAAAATACTGAGAACAAGGCTACATGTAAGGGGAAAATCACAGAGCAAAAGACTACTTACCCAGCTCACTTTGAGCCAAACGAATGTATAAATCGACACCGAGGGAGGAGAATTCCTGTATGTCAGTCATGCTTTCCCTCCAGACCATACAACCAATACCTAAATAATAAGAATAAGCCAAGCATGAACAATTTCCTAAGCACTGACTCCTGCATTGCTCTTCATTTACTGTGTTCAACATCACAGCATTATCTGGCACCTTCATGTTCCTTAACCTCAAAAACCCATTTTCTTCAGATCCTATAGCCCCACACTCCAAAGATGTTCTCCGAACACAACCGCTTGTCCAATTCCCTTTGCTCCATTCTTGGTTATTTCTTGGTTCAAAGCCCTTCAAGCAACCACATATACGCGAATTATTTGAGTTACAAGTCCCGAATTCCCCACACTTACCATAAACATCACATTCAGTTTCTATAGATTTCCATATGGTTGTCCAATTCTTTGTATCTTCATCCCATTCTTTTTGTAGCACTGCTCCATCATAAGTCAGAACATAGTGTTCTGTAACTCTTTGGCTAGACGTCGAAAATGATAGGCCAAGTGTGCCTTCTTCATAGTTATCATCAAGACGAAATCCATCAATCAGAGCAAAATAATACATACTTGGTACTCCAATAAATACATGACCATTCCAAGGTCCAGATCGCCAATAAGGACGGTCACCATCCCAAACGAAAATTTCAGAAAGCAAGCGAGGATTAATGCCAGCATTAAAGCGTCCAGTGGATGGATTTGTAGCACTCTTCCAAGAATTAAGCCGCCGTGATGTATTTGTATCCTCGTCAACAATTATTTGCATTCGCAGCATCAAGGTGTCTGTAGGATAGTCAAAACTCTGCCAGATGACATCCCCGCTGACATTTGAAAGTAAAACAAGGTTTCCAGTATCCAAAAGCTGAGCAACTGAATTATTTACCTCATGATTAGCTGCTATCTTTGTTGACCAAAAAGTGTTGTTTTGTCCATTCAAGAGTTGAAGATCACCTTCCTCGGATATACTGATCACCCCAGAAGAGTTATTAAGTGGTCTGTCTCTGTTGGCTATCCAAATGACTTCGAGTACATCAGAATCATTTTTATTGTACCATATACCAGCATAGCGATTAGTCGAATCAGCAGGGCTGAAAAACCCAAATTTGAAAGTGGAATTCCTAGAGACTAATTCATCTGGGTCTCTTAGATATTGAGTAGTGGTAACATTAGCTAGGACTGAACCAAAAAATAAATTAAAGAAAAATAGGAATAGAAGAAACGTGTTCATAGATTATCACAAACAGCAAAATCTATACAAATATGTGAGAAAATATGAATGCTTTTTCCTAAAACCAATGTTAGTCATGCATGAATTCATCTGTCATGTACATGGCTACATATATTCATCACAAGGCTTCGCGTATTCCTTTAATTTTACCTCTGGCTATGTATGAACCCATAAGTCTGACTACTAGAATGCTAGAAGCACCCGTCGAGTTTGATTTTCTGGTCTCTACCTCTCGCTCTTACACTTGGCCAACAAGCTAAGTCTTACAAGTAAATAATTGCATAAATTGTAATAGTGGGATCACAAAATTTGTTAATAGACTTTGTCAATATTGAGTAATTTAATAATTTACACTTTGACAGGTTTGTTGTTTTAACCTTCATCATCATAATATTAAATCATATGAGCTATTGTATTAAATTCAAGTTTCTTGTCCGGGCATAGCTCATATAGGCTATTGATTACGCATTTTTACCTTAATTTAACTGTTCAATATGGACTAAGTTCTTATATATCACCAATATGGACTAAGTTCTTAATTTAAGCCCATGACTTGATAAAATCTAGAATAATCCTAACAACGTAACCCAAACTGTCTATTTAACCAATTCAGCATGGTTTGAATCAACATATTACAAAAATGCATCCAAAAAAAAAGTCTTCCAATCTGAAGTCAAGGTAGTAATACAATATTAAAAGAAATTTTGATGTAATTGTAAGAATAGCAACGTACTCCATATAATATTTGACTTTATGATCTAAACATTGATATTTTTGACTTTTTGACCATGCATGAAATTGAAACAAGTAATACTTTTTTATATTCTAAATATAATAGGCTAATGGATGACGAACAAAAGAATAGTAGCTGAAAATCTTAGTCTTCAACTTACATGTATAAAATAAGATTTAATTGTGGTCTCAATTGGTATTCAAATTAAATACTACCAGTACAATATTAAAAATAGAGTAGTTTTAGACCAGGAAAACCCCCCTTGTCTTGTGTGAATGGTCATTAGAGTTATTTAAGAAAACCATCCATTTCTTATTCTTTTCGCCTTCATAGCTACTTCCTTTGGGCAAATTCAAGAGAGTTTCTTCACAACGGCCACGAATGGAAGACCGTGAATTTCCAAAAGCCTTAATCAAAATTCTAATAAAAAAGATGAGCTAAGCAATACATGTCATAATATGTCGTCCATCTGGCTTTTAATCTCAGTATCATCCTATAAGAGCAAGTCTTATGTGAGGTCGTCACACACTAATATGGTGTAAAGTATAAGATTTATAATCATGGAAGCTCAAGTATATAAAGTTATGATAAATTATGACAAATAATCAGGATATCAGTTATATGAGCGAGACTTCTAGCTAAAAAAACTAAAGTAGAGGTCAGCACCTAAACAACTATGCCTATTGTGCTATAGCATAGGAATAAGCCAAGGCGGATAGACAGCTTCATTAGTTTGCAACATATATTAATATAAGTACGACATACGAGAATGATCAAATTATGCATAATCAATAGCAAATTCAAGCACAAACAAATTTGAACTTAATAGCATAAAAATGAATTAAACTTCATACAAACTTACATTGCGAAAAGAAACAATAGGCCAAACATTTCTGGTGTGATTCGTGTTCATCATGCACTTTTACATCTTCTGCTTATCTTTGCTCAAATGAAGAATTTCCCCCAACTTTAAAATACTCGAAGTCATGGCTCTTACATCCGCACTAATCATGCCAGTTTAGAGATAGTTCAGGTCATATAACATGATCAGGGATTAATATTTGATAATGTAGCTTCACAAATGATCTTCCAATATGCTGAATCAATGCAGTGCGATCAAAGTGCTCGACTGCTCGTAAATTTCTTAACTGGGACTAGTTTGACAATGATATAGTAACCTGTGAAATGATCAAAGTCAAGGTAGTAATACATCAGTCTCATCAAGCTCGAGGAATGTTGATACTCACTGCACCTCCAGACATCCTTAGCCAATTTATACTCCTTTAAATCACGAACTCGATGGCTAATACCACAACGCGTAGGGAGGGCGTTGTGACAGGCCCGCCAACCAAACAACTTAATTCTCGGCAGAACTTGTAGCTGAAGAAGAGCCCTGTATGCAGATTTTACAGAATATTCACCATTCTTCTCAAGGTCCCAGCAAATCGTGTCACAAGAGAGCCTCTCAGTAATTGGGATGCTTAGTACTCAGTCACGCTCAAATGGGAGAAAATATTGTGTCACCAAATCAGCATTCCAACTGCTACTAGCATAATCAATTAAAGCATTCACCTTCATCTCCGTGTCCGCTTTGCCCCTAGGAGATATGATCAAACGAGACTGAGTCCCCGGCACCCAAAGATCACTCCAAACCTGAATATTACTCTTAATGAGAGGATTATATTCAATTGTTATAATTTATATTTATAGATTATTGAAGATATTATTAGTCAAAGTTTTGCCTCGACTTGTATGTCATGTCACTATAAAAATAAAAAAAAAAAAAAAAAAAAAAGGGTGTATATTTTTGTGAGTTGTAGGAGTAGCATAGCCACATAGCGTACTTGTTGTATGGGACCCTACTGTGAGTGTGCAGTGTTCATTATACTGCTATACAGGAACTGCTTGTATACATGATATTGATAAGCAATACTTGTATAAAGAGTTGCAATCGCATATAAACAATGACAGAAAAGTTTTACTGTCAATAACTTTTGCAAAACTAATTACTATATGACTGGGCAGTAATCAGAGCATACACGACTCGCTGCTCCAGTGCCCCAAACTGCAGTCAACGACCACTTAAGATAGTAATCGAAGCATGGTCAACAGAACAATATACATGAGCGTTTTGTTGGGGTTCATTATGAGAAGCAATCCTTCTTTGTGTAAACCCAGGTTGAGTTGGATGAGGAAGATCTGTGACCTGACTCTCAATCATCGAAATAACCATGGAAACGCTCGGTCTATCTTCAGGAACTTCTTGCACACATAGAAGTCCTAGTTGTATGCACTTCAAAATCTCTGCATGGCGGGTAGATTCTGAATTTTCTGATATTGTTGGATCAATCAATGACAAAATATTGTCCTCATTCCACAATTTCCATGCCTAAAACCATAAAAAGCATTAGTTTAGATGGTAAATACGCAGCCTTTCATATGGAGGCAAGCCGCAAGCAGAGAAATCTTGGTAATAGGTACCCGAAATATAGCTATGGAATGTTATTAGATATCTTACATGACCTAAGAGGCTCAAGCAGTCCTCAACCTTGAAGCTACTGTTCCTTCTTCCACTTAAAACCTCCAGTAGTAGCACCCCAAAGCTGAATACATCTGACTTTTCTGAAAACCGGCCTTCCATTGCATACTCTGGAGACATATAACCACTGCATATAAAGCAAAAGAATGTAGGAGTACATGAATTAGCTCTGTACCCAATTAAAAAGTTAAAAATAGGTTGTACGAACTAGAACTCACTAGGTGCCAACAATCCTGTTGGTATCGCCTTGGTCTTGGTTGCCTCCAAATATCCTTGCCATGCCAAAGTCTGATATTTTGGGATTGAGATTGCCATCCAACAATATGTTGCTTGCTTTAAGATCCCTGTGAATAATCCTTAATCTAGAATCTCGATGAAGGTAAAGAAGTCCTCGGCATATGCCAAGGATGATGTTCAATCGCTTCTCCCAGTCCAGAATCTTCTGATATGTTGGATCTGAGATTTAACAATTGTGGCATTAGCCACACTAAGATAACAAAATACCAAATAGGATTTTGTTCTAATAAATATAAGCACAAATTACCAAAGAGAAGTGCATCCAAACTCTTATTAGGCATTAATTCGTACACCAGCATTTTTTCTTCTCCTTCAACACAGCACCCCAGCAGCTTGACAAGATTTCTGTGCTGAAGTTTTGAAATAACCAACACTTCTGTCATAAACTCCTCGAGTCCTTGCCCAGATGCTTTTGAAAGTCTTTTGACCGCTATCTCCTGTCCATCTTCAAATTTTCCCTGAAAATAACCATTATATCTTCAAGTTCAGCCGTTAAGGTCCCGACTCACACAATGAAAAAAAAAAAAAAAAAAGCTGCATGTGTTTTCTCTTCAGTGCATTTACCTTGTATACGGTGCCAAAACCACCTCGCCCAAGCTTGTTACTATCCTGAAAATTGTCTGTCGCAATTGCCAACTTTTTCAATCCAAACACTGGTAAATCTCCAACTTCAGCTTTACTAGTTCTGCCTTTTGACATAAAGTTTTGCAATAACGTCTCCTTGTTTGTAATTCTCATTACTCCTACAACAAAATTGTCCTATCAGAAAATACAGCCTAAAAACAATGCTTCCAAGTAGCCATATCACCCATATGAACTATGAAGTATAAGTGAGTGAGGAAAAAAAAAGAGAGAGAGAACTCACCATTTCTTTGACACATCCACCTCCATACACAGTACATGATGACAGCAGCCGTAGTTATTCCAATAATAACCATCACTAAAAGAATAATTTTCCTTTTTCTAGTTTTACCTTGCTGAGGTTGTTGCTTCTGCTGATTAGTTTTACCTGAAAACAGAACAAAATGATCAATTATTTAGTAATTCAAATCTCATGTACACCCCGGAAAATGAGGAGAGGAAAAGCATGAGAATCAATATAAAATGCCCAACTGGTGATGATGCAAGCCTGCAATACAAGTCTATGAGAGTAACACAAAGGGAAAGAGGTTAAGAAACGGAGATGCACCTAATTCTGAATAAGCCAAGCGAAGGGAAAGATCCATGCCCTGATTAAATAAATTATTTGTGTCAATTAAGCTGCCATTCCAGATCATACACCCAATACTTGAAAAATAAGAATAAGCATTACATGAACACTTTCCTAAGCACTGACTCCTACAATCATCTTCTCCATTTGCAGAAAACCACTCAGCATTATCTGGTACTTTCACATTTCTCAACTTCCAAAACACATCTGCTCTGTCTCCTTTAGTCTCACACAACAGTGAAGTTCTCCGAACACAACCATCCGTCCAATTTCCTTTGCTCCATTCTTCATAGTTTTTCGGCACAAAGCCTTTCAAGCAACCACATATTAGTGAATTTGTTGAGTTACAAATCCCAAATGCTCCACACTTTCCATAAATATTACAGTCAAACTCTTGAGCACTCCATATAACTTCCCACTTTCTACTGCCTGTATTCCATTCTTTCTGGACAAGACTTCCATCATAATTCACAACAAAGTGTTGTTGAGTTGACTGGTCCCCCGAAGGATATCCAAAGTATGTTGTTCCATCGTTGTCAGTTAAAATGCTAAGAACTGAACCTTTTGCAAGGAATATATTTCCATTCCACGGGCTATTTCTCCAATTAGGATGATCATCATTCCATAGAAAAACTTGAGGAGGAACAAGAGTGTTAATACCAACAATGAATTTACCACTGGATGGATCTGAAGGGCTCTTCCATGATTGAAATAGGTCTTGGTTGTTCCTCACACTATCAGGAATGGTAAATTTCATTAGTGGCAAAAATGAATCCGTGGGATGCTCAAAACTCTGCCAGAAAATGAGCTTACCAGCATTCGAGCGCAGGACAAGGTTTCCTGTGTCTAGAAGCTCAACAACTAAATTATTCTCCTGTTGAGATACATTTGATGACCAAAGCACCTCATTTTTCCCATCCAAAAGTTGAAGATTTCCATCTTCTGATATTTTGAACACCCCAGAGGAATCATTAATTGGGTTTTCCCTGTTGGCTACCCATACCACTTCCAGCTTGTCAGACTCCTGATTACTATACCATATCCCAACATAACGATTCGTCGTGTTAATGGGGCTAAAAAAACCAAACTTGAATGTGTCATCACTAGACTCTATTGTTTCAGGATCTCTAAGAAACTGAGTGGTTGTAATATTGTTTCGAGCAATACCAAACTCAAAGAGAGAAATAAAATAGAGAAACAAAACAAACATGTGCATAAAAGCCATAATTTTCACTGAGGATTTTCTCCTATGATAATATCTTTAAAAAAACGAAAAAATAAAAAATTCAGACGCCTTGCATATGTGTTTTATGATTAAAACATCCATCCAATCAACCAAGACTCTGTTCGTTCTCATAAAGTTAGTCAATGCTAATTAGTGGCTCAGTTTTTGCCTTGTAGCATGTATTAGAGATTTAGAGCAACTTGTCAGCTTTGTCTATAATCTTTGAGAACCCAATTTTGAATTTTATTTTGGTGCTTTCCCATTCATTCTAATCAGGCAAAAGCTTGTGTTAGAATTTCAGGCTTAGACAATTGAATGTTAGAAATGTACCTTAAGTGCTGCACCAATAATCACTATGACTGTGGTGATGATTACTTTCCACTTCGGAAAATCAAACTTGACAAAAATCACCTAGAATAGGACTTTTGTTAGAAACTTCCTATTTAACACTTTTTTTGAAAGAAGACGCCTTAGTTTGGATTCCAGTTTTGACTTCCTCTTCAAGTGCTACCCACCCACGTGCATGGCATGTGACCACTAACAAAACACTCATTTCAAGTTTTCAACCAACAACACAACCTTATTTAAAAGTTATGTCCTTCCGTTTACTAGTGTCACTTAGTAGACAAAGGAACATTAGCATGCATGATCAATCTTACAAAGCCAATGAGTAAAAACATTAAGAAGAACATAAAAAAAACTGATCATTAATAAGAGTTAGCACTTAAGCTATTTAATAAGGAAAAAAAAAATGATCATTAATAAGAGCTAGCAGAACATAAAAAATAAAACAAAAGGGGATAAAGACATTAAGAAAATCACCTAGTTCTGAATGTGCAAGCCGAATGAAAATATCAGGACCAACAGGAGCGAAATTCTGTATGTCAATCAAGCTTTCATTCCAGATCATACACCCAAAACCTAAAGTATAAGCATAAGCTAAACAAGAGCAATTTCCTAGGCACTTTCTCCTGCAATCCTCTTCATCATATGATTCCAACCATTCGGCATTATCTGGCACTTTAACGTTCCTTAACCTTGAAAACCCATCATCTTCCCCTCCTATATTCGCACATTGCAGAGGTGTTCTCCGAACACATCCACTACTCCAATTCCCTGCACTCCATTCTTGGTCATTCCTTGGCTCAAAGCCCCTCAAGAAACTACAGATTGGCAAACTATTCGGATTACAACTCCCAAATTCTCCACACTTTCCATATTTATCACATTCAGATTCTAGGGAACTCCATTCAATTTTCCAATCCCTTTTATCGTCTTGCCAATCTTTTTCTAACAAATTACCATCATAAGTAAGTACATAGTATTTCGTCAGTCTTTTGGTTGTGGAAGAAACTGATATGCTAGCTGTGCCTTTATTGTCATTTTCAAGACTAAATCCATCAACCTGTGCAAAATAGTACATAGCTCGTATCCCCATCAACACTTGACCGTTCCAAGGTCCTGAGCGCCAATAAGGACGGACATCATCCCAGATGAAAACTTCATAAAGCCTACGGTGATTAATACCAACTGTAAACCGTCCATCTGATGGATCAGAAGCGCTCTTCCAAGATGTAACAAGCGGTGATATGGTTGAATTCTCATCAAAATACATATACATATTTTGCAACATTGAGTCTGTAGGATGGTCAAAACTCTGCCAGATGATATTCCCGCTAGAAGATAAAACTAAGTTTCCAGAATCCAGAAGTTGAGCAACAGAAGAATTAACCTTATTATCACCTGATATGTTTGGTGACCATATACTTTTGTTTTTTCCATCCAATAGTTGAAGATTTCCATCTCCGGAAATTTTAAGCACCCCTGAAAAATCACTAAGAGGGTTATTTCTGTTCGCTACCCATACCACTTTTAATTGTTTAGCAACCTCCTTAGTATACCAGATTCCAACATAGCGATATGTTGAGTTAATGGGGCTGAAAAACCCACACTTGAAAATGGCATTACTAGACTCTAGAGTGTCCTGGTCTCTAAGAGATTGAGTGGTTGTAATATCTCGTCGAGCTGAACCAAACTCATAGACCCAAAACCAAGAGAGAAAGAGCACGAGGATATGGACATTACTCATAATATTTAGTAGAGAGGACAAACAATCAGGAACCTTTGCTTATGCCTTGATACCTTTTTGAGCCTGAACTTTGGTCTTCCCTTTGTAATTGGGGGCTCAGTTTTTGCATTGCAAATTCCTGTTTTTCTAATTTTGTTTCATTGTTGACTGACTAACCTTACCAGTTACCACTAGAAGTTTCGTAAGCTAATAACTTCTCCCACTGAGGCAAAAACCATATTAGAGACGCCCTTTTCAATACTCAGCACTATGCTTACTATTTTCCTTTTACAAAGTTGGCCATTATGCACAGCCTTCCAGTCATAGTCAAATATATAGAATCAGAAGCTTCATATCCTTTAAACTTTATTCATTTATTAATATTATAAAGCATTGTATCCATGCCCAATGGAAATAATGCAATATACTTCTTTTGTTTATACTTAATTGACACAATTCTATTATCCTATTTGTCAATGCACAAATCCAACCATCGATACCTTTTATGATTGACAAACAAAAATTATAAACATCTGATATTATATATTTGAGACAAATATAACAATATCTCATTTGACTATTGACAATATTTTCAGTATGTACTGATGAGTCCTTAGTCTAATGGCAAAGACACGGGGCTTATGTATAATAGATTGCAGGTTCAAATCCTCCTCCCCCCTTTGTAATATGTAATGTCCTAGTGGCTCAATTGCACCCAAAAAAATGTATCTTAAATATGGCACATACACAATCGAATGATAGTATGTGAAAAATGCTAGAGTCGAACTGTATTAACTAAAAAAAATTGAGCAGTACACAACTTTGTGGACAATAATTACAAAATTAAGGAAACCTTTTCAAAATATGTTGGATCTGAGTTTTAAAGATTGTTACATTAATCACATAAAGAAGAAGACTAATGACCAAAGATCATCTTACCATGTAGGATAATGTGCTTCAGAATATGTGTACAATATATATTTATACAACAGCATTTTCTCTTCTCCTTCTATACAGCACCACAGTCTGCAGCAGCTTGACAAGATTTCATGATGAAGTTTTCAGAATATCAACAATTTAACACTTCAGTCATGAACTCTTGAGTCCTTGACTAGATGTTTCCGAAAGTTTTTTAATCGCTACCTCTTGTTCATATTCTGTTTTTCCTGCATAAACATAACTTCAGAGCTCCAGTTACAGCCTTGCTGGTAATCAGCTCGCCCAACACCTTCCCCCGCCCTCCCCCCCCCCCCCTCCTTTTTCTAAAAAAAAAAACCCCACATACAAAAAAGAAAATAGGAAAAAAAGTCTTCGCAATTACCTTCACTGCGCCAAGACCACCTTGCCCAAGCTTGTTAATATCCTGAAAGTGGTCTATCAACAATTGCCAACTAAAAAATCCAAACACTAGTAAATCACCAACTTCAACTTTACTGGTTCTGAATTTAGTCATTGAGTTTTGCAATGGTCTCCATTCTTGTAACTCTTGTTACACCTACAGCATCATCTTATCAGAAAACTTAGCCAATAAATTATGTTGATTCTGTTGCGTAACAAGCAATACAATGAATCAAAAAAGGGATGGAAATCACCATTTCCTTGACATGTCCACCTCCATGCACAATATATGATGAGATTGATTATGGCAACTGTAGCTATTTTTAAGAAAACAATAACTATCACTATAAATACTATTTTTGTTTTGCTAGCTTTACCTTGCTTGCTAGAATACCTTATCACAACTGGTAATACATCAGATGTCAGCAAGTGTTATCACTAGTCACAATATATACTTTAGGTTACCACTCTCTGCTCAAAACTGCTAGTCAGCGACCACCAATGGAACTAATTGAAACACCATTAACTGAAAAACATTCACGGCCATTGTGTTGGGCTTCGTTCAAAGAAACAATTCTTCTTAATGTAAAGCCAGGTTGTGTTGGACGAGGAAGCTCTATTACTGCACTCTCTATCATGGAAACAACCATGGTAATGCTTGGTCTATCTTCAGGAAATTCTTGCACAGACAATAGTCCTACTTGTATGCACCTCAAGATCTCTAACTGGAAGGTGGACTCTGAAATTGTTGGATCAACCAATGACAATATATCATCCTCATTCCATAATTTCCATGCCTAAAACCATAGAAACAATAAAGATTAACAATCAATATGCACAATATTTACAGATGAGAACAAAGCAGGGTAACCCAGGTCATTACAACGGATATTTTGAATCCCACAATATATGAATGAAACAATGAAAAAAAACTAAATGTGAGTAAAGAAGATTCTTAAGGTTCCCAAGGAGAGAGCAGCTTAGCACGTGACAAGCTGTATCCCCAATTTTTTAAAAATATTAGCAATGTGTATGTAATTACCAGGAAGTGGGGGTAGTTTATTTACTTTTAAACAACAAAATTAAAGACTCGTGTCCATTAATAAAGGTGAAAGTTAAAACTAGATTATTTGACATTGATGTTGAATCGACAGTATAGAATATCTTACGTGACTTAAGAGGTTCCATGTATCCTCGTCAGTAAAGCTATTGTTCCTTCTTCCACTTACAATCTCTAGTAGCAGCACCCCAAAGCTGAACACATCTGACTTCTCTGAGAATCGGCCTTCCATTGCATACTCTGGAGACATATAGCCACTGTATTCCGAGCAGAAAAGAAATTAAGAAAAAGATGCATTAGTCCGATGATCAGTAAAAAGGTTCAAATTTTATTTAGTTTATAGTAACAATAAACATGGGCAGGAACTCACTAGGTGCCTACAATCCTTTGGGTGTCACCTTGGTCTTGATTGCTTTCAAAAATCCTTGCCATCCCAAAGTCAGATATCTTGGGATTAAAATTGACATCCAATAAAATGTTGCTTGCTTTTAGATCTCTATGAATAATCCTTAATCTAGAATCTCTATGAAGGTAAAGGAGACCTTTACATATCCCTTTGATTATCTTGAAGCGCTTCAACCAGTCCAAATGTTCCCGATTTGAGAGATCTGAGTATTGAAAATACACAGAACAGTACATCTATTGCCATTAGAACTAAAAGTTGATTAAAACATTGGATAAATTTGTCTAAGATACTCAAAAGTTATGGTTCAAACCAAAGAGGAAAGCATCCAAACTCTTATTTGGCATGTATTCATAAACCAGTAGTTTCTCTTCTCCTTCTACACAGCAGCCCAACAATCTGACAAGATTTCTGTGTTGAAGTTTCGAGATTACAACCACTTCATTCATAAATTCTTGTGGGCCTTGCATAGATTCTGTAGAGAGTCTTTTCACAGCTATCTCTTGTCCATCTTCCAGAATTCCCTATAAAAGGTCATCATCTAATCTTCATACCAATGTTCTCTCTACAGATATATTTACAACATAATTGTTTACAGTAAAAGTAATAAAATACCTTGTACACCAGACCAAATCCACCTCGACCTAGCTTGTTGTTTTCAGAAAAGCTGCTAGTTGCAGCTATCAACTCTTTGAATTTAAACAAAGGTAAATCATGGTAACCATTATGACTTATTCCAGCCCCGACCCTGTAATATTTCCATTTTGCTTCATTGTTTGTTGATGTCTTCCCTGTTAAAGCAATAACATTATAAATCAATGTTGCTAGACAAAAAATTGTAGACTACAAAAACAGTTGGTGAAAGGGCAGAAGATGTCACCATATCGTTGATCCATCCACCTCCATAAACAGTATAGGAATATGGCTAGCGTAGAAGTACCCATAATCACTATGACTGCAATAATTACTTTCTGTTTCCTGTTGTCACCTACTTAAAGCAAAAGGGCACACATAATTAACCATATAAACTCATTTAGATACATTCCACTTATCTCAGCATTGTAAAATAAATCAATTTTATTACTCTTGAACAATTGGTTTTTCAATAAACTATGTATCACATAGGAGCAAGCAGAACACGAAAAACTATCAGATAAAGGGAAATGGTCACCTAGTTCTGAATGAGCCAATCGAATGAAAAGATCAACACCAACAGGGGAGAAATCCTGTATGTCAATCAAGCTTCCATTCCAGATCATACACCCAAAACCCAAATAATAAGCATAAGATGAGCACAAACAATTCTTTAGGCACAGTCTTCTGCAATTCTGTTCATCATCTGAAAGCAACCACTCAGCATTGTCTGGCACTTTCATATTCCTTAACCTCAAAAACCCATCTTCTTCCCCTCCTATCGTACCACACTGCAATTGTGTTCTTCGAACACACCCACTAATCCAATTCCCTGCACTCCATTCTTCGTGATTTCTTGGTTCAAAGCCCTTCAAGCAGCTACAAATTGGTGAACGACGTAAATTGCAGCTCCCAAATTTTCCACACTTTCCATATATATCACACTCAGTCTCAGATTCTAGGGTGTGCCATAACATTTTCCAATCACCTTTACCATCTTTCCAATCTTTTTGTAGAACCACACCATCATGAGTTAATACATAGTGTTGCGTAACTTTATCATTCATAGAAGAAAATGATAAGCTAATTGTGCCTTCATTGTCATCTTCAAAATGAAATCCTTTAACTGGTGCCAAGTAATACATAGACCGTACTCCAATAAACACATGACCATCCCAAGGGCCTGATCGCCAATAAGGGCGGTCACCATCCCAGATGAAAATTTCAGTAAGCTTGCTATTAATACCAGCAGTGAAACGTCCAGTTGATGGATCTGAAGCACTCTTCCAAGACGAAAGCAGTGACCTTGTCTTTGTCTTCTCATCAACGGTTAGCTTCATAAGTGGCAACATCGAGTTTAAAGGATGGTCAAAACTCTGCCAGATGATATCCCCAGTGGCATTTGAGAGTAAAACAAGGTTCCCAGTATCCAAAAGCTGAGCAGCAGAAGCATTTACTGCATTATCTATTATCTTTGATGACCAAATACTCTTGTTATGTCCATCCAAAAGCTGAAGATTTCCATCCCTAGATATCTTAAGCACCCCTGAAGAATCACTCAGTGGGTTTTCCCTGTTGGCTACCCATACCAAATTCCAACATAGCGATTCGTTGAGTTAACAGTGCTGAAAAATCCTAGCTTGAAATAACCTCTACTAGACTTCAGTGTTTCTGAATCTCTAAGAAATTGAGTAGCTGTAATATCTCCTTGAGCGGAACCAAATTGCTCAAAGACCCAAAACCAAGAGAACAAGAGCACAAGGGTGTGGACATAAGCCATGATATCAAGTAGAAAGCAATCAACTTTCAGAGGGTAGAATATTTGGAGCTTTTTTTATGCCTTACTTAATTTAAGATAACACCCAAAATTTTGGTCTTTCCTCAATAAAAGTCTAATCTAATTGAAGCAACTATGAACTCTTTCTTAAGAAGCAAAGTTTACAGTCTTCGTGTCACACTAGTATTGTTTTCAAATTTTCTCTATGGTTTATTTTAAGTTGATGACTTTTCAAATAATTGGACTTCCTTCATTTTTTTTATTGATGTTGCACAAATCTCAGTGAGGCAAATCAACAAACAGTTGGCGTGCATACAAAAAATACACAAATTTAATTACTTGCCTTATTTGAGTACTATGTTCTTATTTTCTGGGTTGCCCATTTTGAATCTCTTGCACGTTGCTTGCAATTGTCCCAGTAGAAAGTTTGCAGCATATGGTGGTGATCTGCATTTCAATCATACGTGATTTAGAGGAACAAGCAGCAACAACAACAACAACAACAACAACAACAACAACAACACAAAAAAAAAAAAAAAAAAAAAAAAAAAAAAAAAAAAACGAAAATCAACTATGTTTCTTGATGAGAGTTGCATTATTCCTGAGCCAAAAGTTCCAGAACCAAAAGATTTCGTGTAATGTAGCAATGTAAATGAAGAGCAAACTAAATTCATCAAAGGGGTTTTTGAGCTCTTGGTCTCTTTTCTGATTTTGCAAAATGATCACTATGAATTAGAAGATTCTTCTATGTAAGTTGCTTTCTCTTTTTATGTTTTTTCTTGGTTTTTTGAAAGCAAAATACAAAAGTTAGGTAAGTTTTCTGAAGAAATTAAATTAGAAATTAGAGAAATTAAACGAGAATTAAGTCCTTACTAGGTATCTACGTCTGGATCAATGCTTAGATATTGTATTTCAATTTGATAGCCTAATAGCGCAACATAATTTGCTACTCGATTGGCTTCTCAATACACATGGTTGGAAAAACTGTGCTTGCTTGATCGATAAAATTGTCAAGGGATTAGCTCGCCTAACTCTCCTTATTCGGGTATTACAAGATTCATTATTTATGTTTATTTGGTAATAAAATGTGTTCAATAGAGGACCATTGTCACAAGCGGATCCCCCACACTTGTCAAAAAATAATATTTGCAAAAAAGGTGATTGGTAATGATATGTAGATGCCGTGTTAAAATAGAGTGATTAAAAGAAATTCCGCCTCCTCCCCACGTCTTAGTTCAAAATCAATCCATGTAATGTAAAGTGCAGAATATTTGGCACATAATCCACAAAAGGAAGTCATGCTTACAACAGTTTCATGTATGATTAACAATTAAGAAGTCAAAGAGAAGCAACGAGGAACTGAAAGCTGGCAATGTCTATATCTCCAAATTCATACTTCGTATGATCTCTGACAAGAATTATTTCCTGTCAGAAATATGGTCACTGAATACAAATGACAACATACACCACGCAGCTGCCCAAAACAGCAGTTATCGACCACTTAAGGCAGTAATAGAAACAGGGTTAACAGAACCATTTTCATGATCATTTAGTTGAGCTTTATAAAAAGAAGCATCTCTTCTTTGTGTAAAGCCAGGTTGAGATGGACAAGGTAGATCAGTAACCTCACTCTCAATCATCGAAAGAACCATAGAAACACTCGGTCTATCATCAGGAAACTCTTGCACGCATAGTAGTCCTAGTTGTACACACTTCAAAATTTCTGCATGGAAAGTTAATTCTGAAATTGCTGGATCAATCAGTGACAGAATATTGCCATCATTCCACAATTCCCATGCCTAAAACGTAAAAGCAATTAGGTTAGATGTTTAGTACACTTTACATAACCGTTCACTTAGAGATGAAGAGAGCAAAGTTCGTAGAACTAAACTAAACTAATTGTACAGAGATTTTATGCAATTTCCAGCATGAGTGGTTACCAGACCCATATGGACTATATGGTTAGGCCATTTTATAGGTTGTAGCAGCCTAAATATATAGTCAGGCCATTATATGGGTTGTAGCAGCCTGAATATATAGTGCATGATAGATCCTACAGTTTTTTCCCCGCTCCCAGACAAACTTATGAAGCTTGGGCAAACTTTTTTTATAAAATAATGAACCCTACCCATAATCAGCTCTTATCATGATAATAGATACTCAGAATAATGCGACAACATCTAATCATCCATCAATCATGTCTACGCTACACCAATAACACCATTAGACATCAATGTAGCTATGCACATATATTAAAACATCTTACATGACTTAAGAGGTTCAAGGAGTCCTCTTCCTTGAAGCAATTGTTCCTTCTCCCACTTACAATCTCTAGTAACAGTACCCCAAGGCTAAACACATCCGACTTCTCTGAAAAACGACCTTCCATAGCATACTCAGGAGACATATAACCACTGCATTTAAAGAAAAAGAGTTTAGCATTGCATGGATAGCTCTGTGCAAATTTAAATGTTAGATTATCTTCTTTTTTCAAAAAGTTTATGTATGAGCAGGAACTCACTAGGTGCCAACAATCCTTTTGGTGTCACCTTGGTCTTGGTTACCTCCAAATATCCTTGCCATGCCAAAGTCTGATATCTTAGGATTGAGATTGCCATCCAGCAAAATGTTGCTTGCTTTAAGATCCCTGTGAATAATCCTTAATCTAGAATCTCGATGAAGGTAAAGAAGTCCTCGGCATATGCCTAGGATAACGTTGAATCGCGTTTTCCAGTCCAGAATCTTCTGATATGTTTGGTCTGAGATTTAAAGATTGTGGCATTAACCACACTTAGAAAGAAGATCATTTACCAAGATCATCCTGCCAGTAGAATAATTATCTTAAGAACGTATGCACAATTTACCAAAGAGAAGTGCATCCAGGCTCTTATTTGGCATGTATTCATACACCAGCATTTTTTCTTCTCCTTCTATACAGCAGCCAAGCAGCTTGACAAGATTTCTGTGTTGAAGTTTTGAGACAACCAACACTTCAGTCATGAACTCTTTAAGTCCTTGCCCAGATGCTTTTGAAAGTCTTTTAACTGCTATCTCCTGTCCATCATCTAATTTTCCCTGCAAATAAACATTTCAGATTTTCAATTTATGGTAATCACTCACTCACCCCACACAAAAAATAGGAAGAAAAAAAAAAAGTTTATGCAGCTACCTTGTACACAGCGCCAAAACCACCTCGCCCAAGCTTGTTAAATTCCTGAAAGTGGTCTGTCGCTATTGCCAACTTTTCCAATCCAAACACTGGTAAATCACCAACTTCAACTTCAGTAGTTCCGTCTTTACGCATGGAGTTTTGAAATAAAGTCTTCCTTACCGTAGTTCTAATAAGAGTCGTTACTCCTACAACATTGTCATGTTAGTAAATAAAGCCAGAAAATAATGTTGGAACTAGTGCAAAAGCAATATAACGTATGAGGAGCACAAATCACCATTTCTTTGACACATCCACCTCCATACACAGTATACGATAACAACAATTGTAGCCATTCCAATCGTAACCATCACTGCATGAGTTATTTTTGTTTTTCTAGCTTTACCTTGTTGCTGCTCACTAGTTTCGGCTGAAACAGAAATATATATATATTCAGCATTTCAATTATTTTAATCTAATGCACAAGAATAAAGTTGCCCAACTGATACTGCAATGCAAGCCTATGATGATAATACAAATCAGAACAGGTAAAATATCAGAAATGATCACCTATCTCTGAATGAGCCAACCGTATGAAAAGATCCACACCAACAGATGGGAATTCCTGTATGTCAATCAAAGTTTTATTCCAGACCATACACCCTAAACCAGGATAATAAGCATAAGCTAAACATGTACAATTTCCAAGGCACTGTTTCCTGCAATCACCATCATCATCTGAGTACAACCACGCGGCATTATCAGGCACTTTCATATTAGTGTACTTAAAAAACCCATCTTCTTCCCCTCCAACAGTCCCACACTGCAAAGATTTTTTTTGTATACACCCCCTACTCCAATTCCCTGCATTCCATTCTTGGCTAATCCTTGGTTCAAAGCCGTGCAAACAACTACAAATAGACAAAAGAGTTCTGTTACAACTCCCATACTCTCCACACTTTCCATAAATATCACAGTCAGATTCTAGAGACCTCCATAAACTTAGCCAATCCCCCCCATCAGCTTCCATATAATATCTCTTTAACAATAGCCCGTCATAATTCAATACATAGTGCTCCGTAACTGTTCTAGTTGTTGAAGAAAAGGATAGGTTAAGTGTGCCATCATTTTCATTTTCAATATGAAATCCATCATCTGCTGCATATTTGTACATAGCTCGTACTCCCAGAAACATATCACCATACCATGGCCCTGATCGCCAATATGGAATATCACCATCCCAGACAAAAATTTCAGGGAGACTGCGGTGATTAAAACCAGCAGTAAAACGGCCAATAGATGGATCTGAACCACTGTTCCATGACGCAATCACAGGCGTTGTAGTTGTATGATTATCTTCAAACCTTAATTTCATATGATGTAACAATGAGTTTGTAAGCTGGTCAAAACTCTGCCATACCACATTATCCCCATTAGCATCTGTAAGTAAAACAAGGTTCCCAACATCTTGAAGCTGAGCAACACATGAACTATTATTAACTTCATTTTTAGGAACAACTGCTGTTATATTTGATGACCAGATGCTCTTGTTTTGTCCATCCAAGACCTGAAGATTTCCATCCCCAGATATTATGATCACTCCTGAAGAATCATTAAGTGGGTTTTCCCTGTTGGCTATCCACATCACTTCTAATGTATCACGGACATTCTTGTTATACCAGATTCCAACGTAGCGATCCGTTGAGTTAATAAAACTGAAGAAACCAAACTTGAAACTGCCATCACTAGACTCTATTGTATCAGGGTCTCTCAGAGACTGAGTGGTTGTAATATTGTTTCGAGCGCAACCAAACTCAGAGAACAAAACCCAAGAGAGCAACAGAATAACAAAGTAGACATAATAAGCCATATATTCAGTAGTAAGGAGAAAAAAATAGAAGGGAGTGAAACATAATTAAAAAAATCTTGTATTCCTTCAAGTCTACTTCATAGAAGTATACTAATTTGTGGCTCTGTTTGCTCAGCTTCAATATTTGTAAGTTTACATAGCACCAAATAAACTTTGTAAGTTTTCATAGCACCAAGTAAACTTGTATGACTTCATGACAGAGTAAGCAAAGGAATGGACTACCCTATCACCATTCACTAGTTGCCTCACAATTTGAAAAATGGCCCACCATTAATATCGTTTTAGAAAATGAGACCTGACCTTTGTTTTGGTTTATTGGCCGACATCAAACAGAGTGGTCGACCAAACACCATCAATTTCTTATTCCAAATAATTGTAATATTACCCCCAATTAAAACCTTAATCTTAAAACAAATTGCCCCAAATTAGTTAACCTTAAGCCAGTCATGAGTAATGATTAAAAGTTGTAGGGATAATCACAAGTTACTTCCCTAACAAATTGGAAATGAAAACCTTTAAGATCTTCAATCCCTTGCTTGGACGTTCAAAGCTAAGATAACTTCCATATATTATTTTTAGGATTATTTCGGCAATTAGTTATTGTTAAGGTTTTTCCTTAGCATCATTGTTTTATGCTATCGAGAATAAAGGTCTCTTAATTCACCTTACATGGAATATGTGGAGGACAACAAAAAATGGAAAGCTAACAAGTGAAATCTTCATACATCAACTGACCTTTGGCAATACTTTCACTAAAACATAATTGGTCACGTACTTACAGTTAATCACACTCAGCAAATGCAATCAGATATATACTTGGATGAAACAGGATGCAGCTCTAACCCAAACTGTTGTCACCGACCAACTAAAGAACTAATTGAAACATTATTATTTGAATAACAATCACGGTCATTTTGCTGTGTTCCATTCCAAGAAGCAGTTCTCCTTAGTGTAAATCCAGGTTGAAATGGATGAGGAAGACCTGTAACTTCACTCTCTAACATGGAAACAACCGTGGTGATGCTTGGTCTATCCTCAGGAAATTCTTGCACAGACAGCAGTCCTACATGTATGCACCTCAGAATCTCTGCTTGCAAGGTTGATTCTGAAATTGCTGGATCAATCAATGAGAAAATGTCGTCCTCATTCCACAAATTCCATGCCTGAAACCGCAAAGACAATGAAGCCAAACAGTAAATACACATTCTTAAGCACAGAAGCAAGCAAAATAGAGTATATTCAGGTCATAGAAACAAATAAATGAAACATGTTGTAGCATCAGCCTGACATTATATCTCCAATACATACAACTATACCTTTGAACACGTAAAAATAATAAGATATCTTACATGTCCTATCAGGCCTAAAGACTCCTCATCCTTGAAGCTACTGTTTCTTCTTCCACTTACGATCTCTAGTAGCAGCACCCCAAAGCTAAACACATCTGACTTTTCTGAAAATCGACCTTCCATTGCATACTCTGGAGACATATAACCACTGCATTTTAAACAGGAGATTACAATGTATGCATTAGTTACTTCTATGCTCTAGAAAACATTTTTGAAGTAGTTACTGATAGTATATGTACAAACAGCCACTCACTAGGTGCCAACAATCCTTTTGGTATCACCTTGGTCTTGGTTTCCTCCAAATATCCTTGCCATGCCAAAGTCTGATATCTTAGGATTGAGATCATCATCCAACAAAATGTTGCTTGCTTTAAGATCTCTGTGGATAATCCTCAATCTAGAATCTCTGTGAAGGTATAGGAGACCTCTACTAATTGCTTTGATTATGTTGAAGCGATGCTTCCAGTCCAATTGCTCCCGATCAGAGGGATCTGAGTAAAATATACACAGAAGAATCATCATCAGAGTACACAGGTTCTGAAAATCACAGATCAAATTACTGAATGTTCCTCACAAGATTCTAATAAATCATAAGTTATGGTACAAACCAAAAAGGAGTGCATCCAAGCTCTTATTTGGCATGTATTCATACACCAACAATTTCTCTTCTCCTTCAACACAGCAGCCCAACAGTCTCACAAGATTTCTATGTTGAAGTTTCGAGATGACAACCACTTCATTCATGAATTCTTGTAGGCCCTGTCCTGATGCTCTTGAGAGTCTTTTTACCGCTACCACTTGTCCATCTTCAAATTTTCCCTATAAGAGTAATTTTTGTTAAAGTATCTATTCCTGCCGCATGTATTTTCACCAAATTTTAATCCAGTAAACGTTGTTGATTTACCTTGTATACTGGACCAAATCCCCCTTGTCCAAGCTTGTTGCTTTCCGAAAAGTTGTCCGTTGCAATAACCAAATTTTCAAACTTCAACAATGGTAAATCTTGAAATTCAGCATTACCTATTTTTTGCCAATTTCTATCCTTGTTCCCATCTGTCTTACCTGCAACAGAAATAACCATTTGTCAATGTGGCTATGGAATTTTTTTGTTTTTTTTTTTATTTGGACAAACTATACAAGCAGTCCAAGCAATGACAGAAGGTGTTACCATTTCGCCGATGCAACAACTTCCAAAGACAGAACAGAAAAATAAATGACACGGTTGTACCCATAATCACTATGACAGCTATAATTACTTTCCATTTACTAGTTTTATCTGCAAAACAGAACACATTGGCACACATGATCAGCCATAAAAACTCACTGAGTGATTGATAATCCACTAATAACAAAATCAATTAGAAATAACTTATTTAACCAGTCAATCCATACATTAGGTAAAAAGCAAGCAAAACATGCAATAATATCAGAGAGGGGATAGCTTTTTTTAGATGATCATCACCTAGTTCTGAATGAGCCAGCCTAATGAAAACATCAACACCAACAGGAGAGAAGTCTGTTATATCAATCAAGCTTCCACTCCAGATCATACACCCAAAACCTAAATTGTAAGCAAATGCTGAACAAGAACAATTTCCTAGGCATTGTCTCCTGCAATCATCTTCATCATCAGAATCAAGTCGCGCAGCATTATCTGGCACTTTCACATTTCTTAATTTATAAAATCCATTTGCTTCCCCTCCTTTAATCTTACACTGCAAAGGTGTTCTCCGAACACACCCATTGCTCCAATTCCCCGCACTCCACTCTTGGTGATTCCTTGGTTCAAACCCCCTCATGCAACTACAAATTGGCGAATTATTTGAGTTACAACTCCCAAATTCTCCACACTTTCCATAAACATCACACTCATATTGCAGGGACTGCCATTGAACTGTCCAAAATCCTCTATCATCTTCCCAATCTCTTCGTGAAAGCATACCATCATAAGTCAATACATAGTGTTCAGTAACCCTTTGGCTTGCCGAAGAGTATGATAGCCTAAGTATGCCTTCACTGTCAGTTTCAAGACGAAATCCAACAACCGGCGCTGAATAGAACATAGCTTGAACTCCCATAAACAAACGACCATCCCAAGGTCCTGATCGCCAATAAGGACGATCACCATCCCAGATAAAAAATTCAGGAAGCCTGCGGCGATATAAACCAGCAGTAAAGCGTCCATTTGATGGATTTGAAGCGCTCTTCCACGATGTAAGCATTGGCTTCGTGCTTATATTCCCATCTGATGTTAATACCATACTCTTCATCAATGTGTCTATAGGATGGTCAAAACTCTGCCACATGACATTCTCACTGGCATTTGACTGTAAAACAAGGTTCCCGGTATCTAAAATTTGAGCAATGTTATTCTTTACCTCATTCTTAGCAGTTGAATTTGTAGACCAAATGCTCTTGTTTTGTCCATCCAAGAGTTGAAGATTTCCATCCACAGATATCATGATCACCCCAGAAGAATCATTAAGTGGGTTTTCCTTGTTGGCTACCCATACCACTTCTAAATGATCAGCAACCTCCTTATTATACCAGATTCCAACATAGCGATTTGTCGAGTTAATGAGACCAAAAAAACCAAACCTGAAACTTAAATTACTTGAGACCAATGTTTCAGGGTCTCTAAGAGATTGAGTAGCTGTGATATTGTCTCGAGCCGACCCAAATTGCTTACAGACCCAAACCCAAGAGAGAAATAGCACAAAGGTGTGTAAATAACCCATTTGAAAAGAACATTTAACTTTTGAAAGCACAAAGCTTGCAATGTCTAAGACATTATCCCCAAAACTTTGTCTTTCTTTTCAGAAAGTCAACTGTTGTTGGAAGCTCAGTTTGTGCTTGGTAGCTAGTATGTATAAAAGGAAAGTAGCTTGTCATCTTTGACCATTGACATTACGAAAGATGCAAAGTTTGCCACGCAACATTGATATGTATTTTCAAAGTTTGACATTCCATGATTATACAATATTGCAATGCAAATACAACTCTCAGTGAGACAAAACAACAAACAGTTGGTGTACATCAGTGAACCGACAAGTGAAAATTATATGTTTATTTTTCATGTTTGATCACTTTCATCTTACACTCTGCTATCTCAGTGAGGCAAATTAACAAACAGGTGATGTGCATCAACGAACAGAAAATCCAAAACCGAAAACCGAAATACCATCTTTGGGGAATTGAATGTACTCTTATTTCTTATTTTATTTTGTTTGATCATCTGCTATAGGCAAATCAACAAACAGGTGGTGTGCATCATTTGAACAGATGAAAAAATGACATATTTTGGGAATTTAATGTACCTCTATGATTTGGTAATCTTCTACACTTTGCCTTGCCATTTGCCCATCATGAAATTGCCCATAATTCATAAATTTAACCTGATTCAGAAGCTCCATAACGTTCAGATTATCAGGATATGAATTGAATATCCAGCTTGTAAGTTGAAGATGCACGCAAAGAGAAAGATTTTCCATTGATTTTTGGGTAATTAAATTTATCATTTGTGCGTATAAAATTACAATTACCCTCGTTGATTGTTTGATTATACATACGGTAGCCAAAACCCTCATCTAGTACCCGAGTACTATTATTACTATTCGTTTTGACTTTTATAATATTCATCACCCCTCATTTGACAATATTTTGTGAATAATAGGTAAGGAAAAATATTTTCATATAGGATCTTTTTGAATTCGTCTCAATAAGTACAATCATAATATATAACTTTAATAATTTTTACTTATGGAGAACTAAAATTATTAATCGTTAAAGTTTTGCATTGGCAAGCCTGATAAAAGAAACAGGTCAAGTAAAAAAGAACATATGAAGTATTATTATTATTATTGAATTCTTAATTTGACGAGGAGACAAGCTAATCTCTATGATAAACAAAATTTGTTAATCACATGGCATTTTGGTAAATAAATAACAACTTTATCTAGTCATTATTATTACGGGCCCACTTTTAAGGAAAAAATTCTTTATTAATTTACAAAAATGTCATGTTTTATTAATTTACAAAAATGTCATGTAATAAAAAAAATGTAAATATCATAGATCAACTTGTATTTTCTCTAATTTAATATCGTAAAAGTATAAATTGAGGCGGCTTTCTGAGACAGTTATTATTGAAGATGGGGTTCGATGGTAGATGGGTGAACATGATATCCGAAATATAAAGGTTGAAATAGTGAAATATATATAAAAAAATTTAAATTTTTCATATAAAATTAACCCTTTATTATTAACTTATTATAAAATTCTTAATATATTTGATGATAATTTTTATTACAAAAAGACTACTATTTTGTTAAAATATGTTGTACAAGTTAGAATTAAAAAATCGGTAAAATTAGTGAAATTTAGAAAGTAATCACAATCAATTTTACTTAATATTGAATAATGGATATCCAAAGCATTTGATCCGAAAATTTCGAATATCCGAGTATTGGAAATCCGAAAATATTGAATATCCGAAATTTTCGGATCGGATTTGGATATCAGTTTTTGATATCCGAGTATTCGAATATTCGTTTCAAAATGTGATTTTGGATTGGATATCCGATCTGTGAACAGGCCTAGTATTGATACCATGGTAAACTTCATCAGGCCTACTTGGATATCCGTTTCAAAATATGATTTTGGATCGAATATCCGATCCGTGAACAGGCCTAGTATTGATACCATGGTAAACTTCATTAGGCCGAGGACAATCTCACATTGGAGAAACATATGACCACATATAAGTCAAGTTAAGTTTCATTCTAAAACTTGTTGGTGATGAGTGAAGTACTGAACTTTGTAGTCCAACAATACTGTTATTAGTTATTCTCTCTCTATTTCTTTTAATTTGGGATTAGTTAACTAGTGGGTTATTTTCCTAACGCTTTCATCTTAAAGTAGTTGCTTTAATTTGATGGAGATGAAACTTTTTTGAGCTTGTAGGTAAAGGTGGGCATCGTGCCGTGCTGGGCCACCGCGGGCCGTGCTTAGCGGACCTCGGTCAACGACGTGCCGTGCTGGTCGTGCCACCGTGCCCAAAACCTCGTGCCGTGCCGTGCCAGCCATTTTCACGGGCCAGCCCACGGCGGGTCGTGCCTGGCGGGCTCGTGTCGTGCCTGCCACGTGTCGGCCTACGTGCTGGCCTGGCAAGCTGGCTGCGGGCTTGGCAGTTTCCAGATATATATATATATATATATATATATATATATATATATAGGGCATGCCTGGGCGGGCTGGCACGGCGGGCCAAGGGGCGGGCTCATGCCGTGTCGTGCCGAAAAGTGCAGCTCCTGTCCGTGGCACGGCCCACGGCATGCTGGCGGGCCACCACCCGGGCCGTGTCGTGCCCCGTCAAAGGGCGGGCTGTGCCGGGCGGCACGCGGGCCACCCCGGCCCGTGCCCAGCTCTACTTGTAGGTAATCCAATGGGGTCATTCTCGAGTATCCAATAATGCCCATGCATTTCCAAAAAATAAAAAACACCTTAATAGTTCATGGTCAATCAACTAAATTATACTTCCTCTATTTTTTAATACTTACAACACATCCCTAAAATGAAAATATCACAATACTTACTACACACTATATTTGGAATTTTTTTATTTAGTAAATGTATTGTTGTACTACTACCCTTAATTAAAGCCCATGACCCTCTTAAATATGCCCTCAGTCCCTTATTTTTTTTGCCCCATTTGACTTTTCACGGTTTACAAGACGTGTCTTCAAACGTATATATCTCCATTTTTATATACGCGTCAGTCAGGGGCGGAACTAGCATGGGTTCAAGTGGGTTCATTGAACCCACTGATTTTTTGAAAAAAAATAAAAACCTTTTTTTAAAAAAAAAAATTTCAAAATAGGTTTAAATAGAATATTTGTATAATATATGACAAAAAGTAAAGTTGTAGCCCAGTGGTTATTTTTAACTCCCATCACACAAGAGTTGTGGGGAGTTGTGGTTTCAAAACCCATAACTCACACTTTTTTTTTTAATTTCATTTTTTGTTTTCCTAACACTTAAGAACGAAACCTTTCATCTTCCAGTCTTCCTCATTCCCCCAAATTGAAAAACCCTAACCTCTTCCTCCTTCTCTTCCCATTCTTCCTCTCTCTCTTCTATTTCGTTCTCCTTTTCTTGCAACCCACCGGCGCAAATGCAGGCTGAGTACGAGCCAAGGCTCGAAGCTGCGAAGCGAAGCAGACCCACAAGCCACAACTACTCAACCTAGTGACGGACTGGCGGAAGTCAGCAAGTCACAGTCACAACCTGACATTCATGTGCCCGTGTCTACTCGTCTAGGACTCTAGGTAAGTGAATTTGGGGATTCATTTTGTGAATCGCTAAACATCGCCCGCAAATCTCCACATAAAGCCCACAAATTTGTATTGAAGTGACTTTATTGCCCTTTTCTTTTTTAAAAAAAACACTCTCAACATCTCTCTAAAAAAAATCAGAAAATCTACTTCTCTACAAAAAATTAATTACAACAATGTCGAGGCGGCAAGGGAAAGAGGCGGCGGAGGAGGAAAGGCGGCGACCTGGTGGCAAGGTAAGTATTTAAATAATTTTTTTAAAAAAAATAAGGGGCGAAGGTAGGGCGCCAGCTCCGGCAACCAAAGCCGGTGGCGTAGCATCTGGCTTGGAAGCCCAGCCACCGGAGAGGCGTCCAAACCAGACGCCAGGCCATAGGCTCTGGCTGCCAGAGCTGGCGCCTCTGCCTATGGGTGGGCGTCCAGTTCAGGCGCCTGCCCACTGGCTATGGCTGCCGGATCTGGCGCCACCGCCAGTGGGTGGGCGTCCTGGCCAGGCGCCCCACTTGCCGTTTAAATTTTTTTTTTTTAAAAAAAAAAATCTTTTGTTTTTGGAAAATCAGAAATTTTGTTTTATTTTAAATAATTTTGTTTTATGTCTAATTTTTTTTTTAATGTGTTTGATTTTTTTTTAAATATTTATTAATTTTATGTGTTTATTTTTATAAATCCAGTATATATATTTTTTATAAAATCAGATTTATTTTTTGTGTTAATGTTTAATTTTTTTATGTTTGATGTGTAAACATTTTTTATGTCTTAATTTATGTAGTATGTGGAAATTGTTTGTGTTAATGTGTAATTGTTTTTTTTTAAAAAAATGTGTAATACGTTAGGGTATTATGTGTGTATTTGTGTATGTGTAATATTTTTTTTTTATGTTTAATTATTTGAAATAATTTTTTTTTTTTTGGAAATCAGAAATTTTGTATCCCCTTTAAATATTTTTGTTTTGTGTTCTATTTATTTATTATGTGTTTGATTTTTTATAATCTTTATTAATTTTATGTTTATAAACATGACGTTATGCTTTAAGTGTTGGTATTTTGTATGTGTAGGTAGTTATTTATTTTTCTAAAAAACTTTTGTATGTTTATATATTTTTTAATTTTTTGTAGAATCCACTGGCGCGTCATGGTGCGGGGAAGAATCTAGAGCTTCTTAGTAGAAGCTATTCAGTGGAGAGGTCGGGGCATAGACATGTTAGATCCCGTGGTATTTCGGCCTCGGCTCGTAGAGAACGGATCCACCGTCGGGATGAGGATGACGATGACGATGACGATGATGATGTTGAGGAGGGTGACCAGGAGGAGCAGGAGGAGGACGCATTTGAGGATGAGGATGTGGACGATGGGAGTGGACCGTATGATGATTATGGTCCATTCAGTTAGAGGGTTGATGACATGTACGAGACACATATGGTAGAGGTGTGTAAGGGTAGGGGTGGTAGGTTTGTTAGTAGATCTGGCACATCATCTGCGTCCACTGTGTCTGGGGCAAGCAGGAAATGGTCGAGGGTCGTTAATGATTCTTGGGTTGTTAGGAGTAAGGTGCCCGGTGGGCCTGTAGACGGGAGTGTGATTCCTAGCGTTCTAGGACACATATCTACCCATATTTGGGAGGACCAGGAGAGACCTTCAGTTACGGGCTTGTTGAAATGTCATACCCGGGAAAAGACTTGTAGCTTTTTGCGTACATGGGCTGAGGCTTGGCCGGCGGAGAGCGAGATGTTCGAGCGATTGGAGGGCACTGGGTGAATCACGTTCCTGCCACCATGCACGATAAGATTGACACTACGCTGATCACGGCTTTTGTTGAGCGATGGCAACCGGATACAAACTCTTTCCACCTTCCGTTTGGTGAGATGACGATCATGTTACATGACGTCGAGGCCATTATGGGGATTCGTGTTGAGGGTAAACGACCTTGTGCTGTGACTGATGCGGATCAGGCAGATTTTCTGGCGGAGTTGTTGGT